CTTAATGTAAGTCTATTCGATATCTTTCTGACAACAACGCTATTTTTCAACACGAAGTTGACAGTGACAAGCAACACATAAGGATAGTTTCAACTAAATCAAAAGACATAAATAATACAATGCAATAGTAGCACAGTGGCTGGAAAAGGTATTTCAACCAGACACGTTGAGCCTATGTTCTTATCCGGACGAGGTTCGTGCAAAAACGTTTCCGTCCTAATATCGCGACTTTGGTTATGCTTGTCCAAATTTCCAATATTAAAATATTACCATAATTATCTTTATCCTTTTATAATATTAAAAAAAAGTGATTGTACGTAACAACGCGTCCACATTTCAGGAGTCACTGGCTGGTAAAGTGTGTTGAACGAACGTACTCGGAGATGTTGGTGAGTCCCTGTACGGACTTTAAATTTACATTACTTAAATTCTATGTTGTGCTACAATATTGGACAGATGTGTAAAATGGAGGTAGGGGACTATAGTGGTGTCAATATGTCGAGCAGAAAACGAAGGATGGCGAAGATTAAAAGCTGCTTTCACCTAAAACTTAGGAACAACAAAAACCCTACCTGGTGTCTGTGATGGCGGTCAAGCCGGAAGGACTGTTGGTTACGAGAACCGGGGTAATGAAAGATTTGACCTGGAAGACGCCTTTGTGATGTCGACATGACAGCGCCCCCTATCGGGCTGGAGTAGGTAACGTTTCACAATAAAGCGCTGTGAAACAATAAAGCATTGTGACATAGACCACATTTAATGTTCTTCACGGCTTCATTTTTACATATCTACCACAGTAACGGAGAGAGACACTGTACACACCCAATATTTGATCGGACAGTAACACCAAGTGACAGATAATACAACTTAATACACAAATAAATGAAAGACTACATCTAAACTAATGGCATATTATTAAACTGTCTACATACCTAACAGCGTATTTTTTTATGATTTCATAAACATTGTAAATTCAGCCCATGTTTGATGATAATCTAACTACTACTTTAGTAACAGTAAAGTCCTGACAGCTGTGATGGAGATTAACCCTCCATCTAAAGATGGCCACTATATAACTAGCAATTTAACTATTCAATTTTAAATTCAATTTTATTCATATAGCGCCAATTCACAACATATGTAATCTCATAACACTTCACATAGCAAGGTGAAGACCTTATGAATTTTAAACAGAGAATTTTGGATTTCCTGTGAGCAAGCAGTCGGCGATAGAGGGAAGGAACCAAAAAAAATAACAACAACCCTTTAACAAAGAGGGGAAAAAAAAAAACCTCCAACACGACCAGGCTAAGAGGAGGTGGCCACCTGCCTCGACCTGTACTGGTGAGAGTGGGGTTGAGAGGGTGGGGGATAGCAAGAAGGGTTGGGGTGGGTATAGCAGGATAGTAGATGGAGAGCAAGCAAAACAGAACAATAAACATTTTGAAGGTCGTTGAGGCCAGCGGCAGTAAATCAGATATGTGTAGCTCCAGATCCAGAGACACCCCCACAGAGAGAACAAACACAGGATGTCGTGGGAAACGCAGAATTAGTGACATGAAAAGGTGATATATAACTGTATAGAAGAAAAAGAGAGGAGAGTAGAGGAGCTCAGTACATCATGAGAAATCCTCCATTAGTCTAAATCTATAACAGCATAAATAAGGGACAGTTTAGGTGATCCTGAGCAGCGCTAACTATACACTTTATCAAAGAAGAATGTTTTAACCGTAATCTTGAAAGTAGAGACGCCCTCTGCCTCCCGAATCCAAACTGGGAGCTGATTCCACAACAGAGGAGCCTGATAACCGAAGATTCTACTTTTGGATCTCTGGGAACCACAAGTAAACCTGCAGTCTGAGAACGAAGAGTTCTGTTAGGATGATATGGTACCACAAGGTGTTTAAGATAAGATGGAGGGTGGTCATTAAGAATTTTATATGTGAGAGACAGAATTTATAGTCTATCCTAGATTTTACAGGGAGCCTATGAAGAGAAGCTAATAAGGAAGCAATATGATCTCTCTTATTGGTTCCTGTCAAAACGCTGGCTGCAGCATCTTGTATTAGCTGGAGGTGTTTAAGAAGATAATAAGGAGTTACAATAGTCCAGCCTAGAGGTTGCAAATGCATGGACTGGTTTTTCAGCATCACTCTGAGACAGGATGATACTGATTGTGACAATATTATGTATGTGAAAGAAGGCTGTCCTATTGATGTGCTTTATGTGTGTGTTGAAGGGCAGATCTTGGCCTACAATATATAAACTGTGAATTTATGTGTGACAGCTTAACTGTCTGATGTGTGACTGTGATTTACTGTCAGATCCTGACCCAGACTAGTCCTATCTCTAAGTCGGAGATAATTTGTAATTGTAAGTAATTATTGAAGTTACCAGCACTGCTGTTTATCATGCAAAACTGCAGCAACTCTTTTGCTTTGGAGACACTTCTATGAATTTTACTGCTGTCTTATGCTGCAGGTATGAATTGAAGTCAACGGAAAGACTCCTACAAACAGCTGGAAGCAACAAAGTAATTTTCAGCTGATGATAATGATTTGTGAAAAAGAAAAAAAAAATCAAATCATATTGCTTATTGGTATCACTGATCAGAGCTGCTAGTCTGTTTGTATGACAGTAAAGTTGTATTTTAATGGAAATTTCAGTATGTAGAGCAAAGCCAATAAAAAAAAAAGATTTTGTCAAGAATACTGGATCTTTTGTTCTCTGTGATGATTTAGGACCAACATTGGTGCTGAAATGTGAAAATCTGAAAAACTCTTTTCCACATCATTCGACACAACTTGAAGTACTGTCGTGTCTATCTGTTTATGCAACGACATGCAGTTCAGACTTGTGCTGTGTTGATAGCGATACAGAAATGTTTCTTGGTGCAATCTAGTAAGATTGCTATTGCAACTTTTACAGGAAAAAACAGGATGCTCATACAGACATGATGCACAATCTTGAAGGACACGGAGCTGGCAGGAAAGCTCCTGATTTACTAGTCATCTTTGTTTTAACTGTCACTTATGGTCATAGATGCAGTTAATCGCTAAGATGACAAACCTTCATTAGAGAGATCTGAGAGATTGTTTAAGGTGATGCCTTATCCTGTCAGAAGAGATATGCCCCTCCCTCACTGCTTGTTGTCACTGATTTGTGCCTCAACGTTTATTAAAAGCGACACACCCAAACTCATAAAAATGCCTGTGATAGAGAAAGACTGCTTATGAACATGTTACAGATATAAATCTCACTACCCCACTCATTGTAACACAAACAGACCACTCTGCCATTACAGCTACACAATACAGCCCTTGTTTCTTGTTTCTTTTTTTGGACTTTATGCTGCTTGACATTTTAAATCTTTGGACTGTTTAGACTGTTAATTGTCTTTATTTCTTTCCCCAAAAATGACAATTCACCATTAATATGGATGCACATGAAAAGAAATAAGATTTAAAGATTTGTGTTCCAGTCTTGTTTTATCAATTTAAAATGGGCATCATCAAGTCATATACAACTCTTGAAATCAGCCTCTGTCTTGTGCTGAATGTAGATTGTCACGTGGCTTTCTTTTACTTTGACAGCTGTAACATCACACACCAGCAAGATCCATACTATTTCCAAACTCAGAGCAGAGCAGTATGCAATTTACACACATGATCCAGCAGCACTTACTTCATTCATTATTTGAAGCTTTTGATGTGTTAATGTAACCGAATTTAGCCTTACCTAAATGCTTTTGTACAAGCAAATAGTTGAACTGTTGTGCACAGATTACCAGTTTCTAAAGGGACTTGTAGTTTCAGGGAGCTCCCAGTTACCTGATTAAAAGCAATAATATTTGCTGTTGTGTCATTGCTGCATGGGTGGGACTGACCTAATTAAGAAAAAAAAAAAAACAAGCAAGCAAGCAAACAAAAAAAGCAACAGACAATAAAATAATGAAAACAGTTTATTATATTCAGCCTATAAGTTACTGTAGACAGTCAAGTTGGGTCAATGTAAAAACATGTCTGTTCGTATTATAGTAGGAATGTTAATTTCCTGAATGATCAATTAAATAAAAAATGATAATTAAAATAATAATAACATGGCCTTCAACTGCAGTGTATTTGAGGCAGGCCTATATAATGGGGTTGTTGTAGTGTAGTCTATTGTAGTGTTTCAGATAATTTTTTTTCTCTTTAAATTCATACTACACGTTCTTCCATCCAAATCACCAAATGCTACTGATACTATACATACAAATAAAATTGCCTTTATTTCTCTCAAGTAGAACCTAGACATTTAGATAAATTTAATTTGAGATTTAACACAGAAAAGCTAACAATACGAGAGGTGAATAGAGATGAATTACTTTGTGCTACAGCACAAACTATTCTGGATAATCCACATCCACAGAACACAACATGTACATGTTTAACTAGAACTGCTTCATGCTAAAGAAAGAGTAACTATTTCTACAGCACAGTCTAAACTGTGAATACTGGTTGGTAGGTTGGTTAAAGCCTAGCTAAACTAATTGTGTATTGGGCTGTGTATTTGCCAAAACGCGGGTGAGCTACAGCTGAATGCCGTACTTTAATCGACCTTAATGCAGCCTGAGTAGACAGAGGTAGCAGCAAATGTTCTGCTGTCCTGCCAACGGGCTCTCTGTCCGCCCCCTGTGTAAAGCACACACTGTGTGTAAACGATGGGCTGCTACCATCCACGCTCTGCCCCACCCATTCTCCCATCAACCCCTGCGAGACAGGAAGCACTCTCTACTTTTGGCGCGGTCTTGATAGCGGTGTCGGCCATCTTGGAATCACACCACTCTTTCAGGCAAAGCTCCGAGACGGTGCGTGACACTGGAACTCATTGATTGACATCTTCTTACTAATTAAGACGAAAAGCTTATTTACATCCCCGTTTAACGAAGACAGTCGATTGCTGCAATAATTTGTTTTGTGTTGCTCACTAGGTGGTGAAGCAAACTCAGGATCGTTTAAGGAACCGTTATGGCGACTGCTACCCCGAGCCGTGAAGCTGCCCGGCCAACGGCCTGTACACCTCTCTCCCCCACTCGGATATCTCGCTTACAAGAAAAACAAGATTTGCAGCATCTGAACGATAGGCTGGCCGTGTATATCGACCGTGTCCGGGCACTGGAATTGGAGAATGACCGGCTGATGGTGAAAGTGTCCGAGAAAGAGGAGGTGACTACTAGGGAGGTGAGTCAAATACAAATACAAAAGTGTTTACACTTATCCATATGTGGTCTCCCGACCGCGGGTCATTTGAAGTAGTGTGAAGTGTTGCTAAACAATACATCTTCGTTTTAAGTTAAGAGAAATTACAAACAAATGACTTCAAAGCAAATGAACATAATTAAGGACTAACCTACGTTAAATCATAGTTGTTAATGAATTTCAGATGACGATACAAATGTGTAAATAAAGATATACCGTGTTGACAACTTCATACATTTGACTATTGCATTCACCTAACGTGTTTGTTACCCGCAGTAATGCATACTGCATTCCTTAATCTGTATTCACACGTAACCGGACTGGGAGGATTGAGCGGGTGGATATGCGCGCCAAACTATTTATATGATCCATTATTTTTCGTCTTCTTTACATCAGTTGACTTTTGACGGCAGACGTACACACATTATCTTGAAGTATTAGAACTTGTCGAGGGTTAGACTATTGCCTAAGTCGCTGCACGTGTCGGTTGTGTTTGTGCTGTTTTCTACACTTAGGCCTGTTTTCTTAGTGAAACTTATTACCAGAAAAATACGCAATGGAAAAAGTTGAAACTGTACTAGTTGTCAGTTTGCACGGTTCCTATAAATTTAGGTTATGTGCATTTTTAAATAGTTGCCTTTTACTTATAGAAAGGTATAGGGTGGATAGCATGTTATATTTCAAACCCCCTTACCAAAAAAGTGTAAATTGTTTTGAACGGTTGAAATCTAATTAAACCAGTTGTAAGTAAACTGTAGCACTCTTTTACAGTGTTTCTCCAATGAATTTTCCAATGCCCTGTTCTGAAATGGGATATGTAACATTGCCGGCTTTATCAATCTGTTAAAGTGATAGCATTCTGTCACTCAAGCTTCTTTCAGTTCACTTTTCCATTAATGTTTCTCAAATCTGCATACAAACATACCCACCACAATGTCAGAGAGCGCCACGGTACGCACACGATACACTAGTCAATGCATCAATTCATTGTTTGTACACTGCTTTATACAGCTGACTTATGGCAAAGGCAGGAGACGCCCTGGACAGGTTGCCAGTCCATCACAGGGGCCTCACAAGGTCCAGACAATCAAGCACATTCACAGCTAAAAATGCTAAAGTCATTTAATTAATTTTTTAATTAAAAAAAAATCTGATTGCTTGATTACTTGCCAGAATACTGAATTATTTAAATAGTCGATAGCTGTAGCGCTACCAGATAATATTTATTACGAGTCAGTCTCATTAATCTGACCTGTTACAGGCTCTTTTTGCTGCAGTAAAATTTAAATTTGTAGTAGATGTGAAATCGTAGTGTAAAATGAATGAGACAAAACATCTGAAACATTGAAAGTTGAGTTACGTTTGCATTTGTATTGCAGATTGTACTATTGGAGCTGAGTTTAGTTACGAGGTTGTGAATTGTGACTTTTGGCAGTGTTGTCTTTGGCTCGGATTTTAAACTCTGACACATACGAAGACCGGTTGGGACCCTGGAGGCAGGGGCATTTATCTTTATTCTATTTTTTGCTCTCTGCCGCAGCACAGCGCAATTATATTTTGTATATACACTGTTAGGTAGGATTGACCGACTCTTCTGCAAGTTAGTGATGTTAACAGGATATGCAAATGAGTGCAGTCATACATCCACAAAGTTTCAATGATTCAGAACCTTTTCTTCAATAAATGTGCAGACATTTTCAGATCAACATTTACAAGGTTTCAAGACCATTTTACAAAAAAAGGTTACCAGTTAATATGTAGAGCGAAGGCATTTGTAGACTATACAATACTGTTATTCTTATTTATTTAGATTACTGTGGAAGGGAATTGCTCTGAGCCCTACTGCAGGCTAACAAAACAGGGTTAGACCATCTTTGCTAGAGCTGAGTGGCATTACAGGCTACGGTTTGAAGGATCACACAAGGACAAGACATACAGACCTCTGCAAAAGACTGGAATTGACAGCATGTTGCACAGAATCAGGGTAACCCTTTAAATCCATACTAGGCCCGAGTGATTTATCGGCTGGCCGATTACAGCCCTTTTCAAAATAATCATCGTCAGCCAGAGTTTTGCCGATTAAACACATATATATTCTTAATTTCTTCATAAAACAGTAAATGCTGTTAAGTGTCACAGTTGCGCAGAATGCTGTTGTTGCGCCGTTTGTCCACTAGATGGACCCGTGACTCCATTCAATCTTTTGTCCTCACCGCTGTCTTCTCAGTAGTACAGAAGTAAGCTACAGCTAGGCAGCATCACAGGAGTGGGCTGAGCGGAGCTACTGACAGATAAGTTCATAACGACGTTGTCACATTGATAATGACTCAACATGTCTCCTGTTTCACTTTAACTCTCTTTGCCATGTGTCATGACAAGTGACACGTACTTCGTTGTGTCGGTCATGCCTTTCATTTACGTTGCATTGCTAAAGTTGTGCTAACTTGGCTTAAGTTACTCACTTTGTGTTTGTGTTAGCAACCACATCGCTGTAGTTATGCCAACCTAGCATAGCGTTAGCTAACAGCTTAAAAGCCAGTAAGTAACTGCAGAAATAACGTAAGTGTACAAAGTATTTGAGAGTACAGAACAACTGCTCATCACTCCATCAGCTGCATGTTGAAGGGCATTTAAGAAGGAGCGATGTGAACGCAGAGGGGAGGGGGTTTATTCAGTGCAGGCCTGAAAAGTTAAAATGATGAACATTACTGTCTGCCTTCAGCAACCATCATGATGTCGTGACACTCTTCCTTTTACTTTGTCAGGAAATACTATACGGTGACCAGGGTGTAACAGCAAATCACTGTGTGTGTTGTTATGGAGCAACATTAGTGTCGGACTGTTTGTGACCATTATATATTTAAAATGCAACTCTGTCAAAGATGACATGTTTTGACATCTTAAAAAAAGGTGTCACTGGTTTTTACTGAGACAGCTGCGTCAGGCCAAAGAAGAGGCCTACAGGAGTGGGGACAAAGTGTTGTTCAACCAGGCCAGAAACACACTGACAAAGGAGATCAGAGCAGCTAAGAGGAGCTACTCTGAGAAGCTGAAGAGCCATCTTTTAAAGACCCTACATCAGTGTGGAAAGGCCTGAAGAACATCACCAACTACAAGCCACCACCCCCCACCTCTGTAGGGAGCCAACAACTGGCTGATGACCTGAACCAGTTCTACTACAGGTTCGAAAAGGACTTGACATCCCACATGGACCATCTCCCTACTCAGCCATCAACACCCCCTGCAGCCTTGCACCCCCTCCCTTCTGACACTCAACCTGCAATCAGGATCTGTGAAGAAGACATCTGCCGGCTCTTCAAGAAACAAAAGATCAGGAAGGCTGCAGGGCCAGACCGAGTCTCACCTGCCTGCCTGAAAGCCTGTGCAGATCAACTGTCACCTGTCTTCACAAAGATCTTCACACAGATCTTCAACAGATAACTGGAGGAGTGTGAGGTTCCTTCCTGCTTCAAACGCTCCACCATCATCCCGGTCCCCAAGAAACCCAAGATCACAGGACTGAACAACTACAGACCTGTCGCCCTAACATCTGTAGTTATGAAGTCCTTTGAGAGACTAGTGTTGGCCCATCTGAAGGACATTGCTGGACCCCCTGCAGTTTGCCTACCGAGCAAACAGGTCTGTGGATAATGCAGTCAACATGGGGCTGCATCACATACTGCAACATCTCGACAGACCAGGGACCTACGCAAGGTTTCTATTTGTGGACTTCAGCTCGGTCTTCAACACGATCATCTCGGACCTCCTTCTGCCCAAACTCACCCAGCTGTCTTTCCCACCCCCACCTGTCAGTGGATCTCCAGCTTCCTGACAGACAGACAGCAGCTGGTGACGCTGGGCAACTTCACATCCAGTACCCACACCATCAGCACCGGCGCCCCCCAGGGATGTGTTCTCTCCCAACTGCTCTTCTCCTTGTACACCAACAACTGCACCTCCTCACACCCCTCTGTGAAGCTCCTGAAGTTCGCAGACAATACCACTGTTATTGGGCTCATCCAGGACGATGGTGAGTCTGGTTACAGAGAGGAGGTGGAGCAGCTGGCTGTCTGGTGCAGTCATAACAACTTGGAGCTGAACATGCTCAGAACAGTGGAGATGACAGTGGACTTTAGGAGGAACCCCTCCCCCTCCCCTCACCATCCTGAGCAGCACTGTGCCTGCTGTGGAGTCCTTCAGGTTCCTGAGCACTACCATCTCCCAGGACCTGAGATGGGAGACCCACATAGACTCTGTGGTGAAGAAGGCCCAACAGAGACTGTACTTTCTCCGCCAGCTGAGGAAGTTCAACCTGCCACAGGAGCTGCTGAAGCAGTTCTACTCAGCAGTCACTGAGTCTGTCCTATGGTCATCTTTGACTGTCTGGATTGGTTCTGCTACCAAATCAGACATAAGGGACTGCAATGGACAGTCAGGACTTCTGAGAGGCTCATCGGTGCCCCCCTGCCATCCCTCCAGGACATGTACTCCTCCAGAGTGAGGAAAAGGGCAGGAAAAATCCTCACGGACCCCTCCCACCCTGGTCATCACCTCTTTGACCTGCTACCCTCCGGCCGGCGCTTCAGGTCTCTAAGCACCCAAACATCCCAGCACCGGAGCAACTTCTTCCCTCAGGCCATATCCCTCGTGAACAATCAGCCAGTAAATCACTATAGACTCCTGTTACTCTGTGCAATATCATTACATGTGCAGTTCCTCAATTTCATGTGCAATATTGTAATTTCAACCGTTTTCTAGTTTATTTCTCTGGCTTAGGGAAGTTTATTTCTTTTCACAGTACGTTTTATTTTTGTTTACATAGTACTTTCATACTTCTTGTTTACATATCATATTTCATTTAGAATTTTGTAGAAAAAGATTTCTATCTTTATTGCCTGTCTTGTGTTGTGTACCACAGTTTCATTCATCATGTAAAATTCCTTGTGTGTACAGCTCACTTGGCAATAAAAGCTTTCTGTATTTCTGTATTTTGGTTCATGAGTCATGATTTCTTGGCAACAAAAATAATGGAGTAGAGAAAATGTGATTTAATGTTAAAAGGCATCAGAGGGCTGCAAAAATAATGTTTGCCAATAACGTCACTCATTATGTTGCTTATATACAGCATAAACCTATGGCCTAAATCTAAAGATAAATTCATCAGTACAACTGGTAGCTATATTCATGCATGCTCCATAGGGGGGGGAAAAAAAGCACAATGCCAAGTTCAAATAAAATGCCCCACATTACAGACATATTTGTTTGGAAAACAGTTTCTATTTAATTTTTATTTACAGATGCATATGTTTAATGTTTTATTGCATGTTTTTGTACTTGATAATTCCTCTCTGTTGTAAAGTTAAACAAATGGATGGACTAAAGGGCAAAATATTGTAAAATACTCTGCTCATATTCATATATTTGTTGTTTTAAGCATTAAGGGACCAAAAAAAGAAATTATTTCATTCATCATATATATATATGTTTTTTAATAAAAAGACCCAGAAAAAGCGGATAGCAAAAATTTTTTTTTTTTTTTTGCCAAATATCGGCATCGGTCTCCAAAAATCCATAGGGTTTGGGCCCTAATCCATACATTTACTTTGCATATCTAAAAGAGACTTAATCACTGCACCACATGTGTCCAAATGTGCTGCATTTAAGAGGACATTGACTTTAACCCCAGAATATAGAGTGGTATCAGCTGGACATAAAGAGCAAATTAATCTATCGACATTTAAGGTCTATACCTATGGAAAGACTAGGAATTAGAAGACAAAATCTGTGTTTTTGATGGGAATTTGGAACTGGACACATTTGTTCCCAGATAACTACTTGCATGGTACCCCAAACAGTCAATCAGTGATTTGTAATTTCTCGTTTTTCAGCTAGGTACGCCATCTAGTAATTAGTTTTTATGTCTTTCTCTTTAGGTAACAGGCCTGAAGGCTCTTTATGAGGCAGAGTTAGCTGATGCTCGACGGGTTTTGGATGAAACTGCTAAAGAGAGAGCCAGGCTTCAGATAGACCTTGGCAAGGCTCATGCTGACCTGGAAGAAGCCACACGCAGGTAAGATAATGCATTTTACCAGCAGTTAAGCCTGCACTTTCTCATACCCATGCAAACTTTAGATTTTTAGTGAATTTTCATTAGACCAATGGGTTTCTTCAGCCTGTACATGACATTAGCAAATGATAAAAGACATGAAACTTTGTGTTAGAGAGGGTCATGATAAAAATCTAACTCTTTATTTGTGAACTCTGGCTTGACTGTGTTCTGCAGGGAAAAGCCTACAGTGATTTCCTCCCTGTGTGCAGGTTTTGATTTAGAACTACATATTTTTGATTCAGAGACGAGAGGCTGTTCACAGATGGGTCTGTTGTCAATGTGTTTGTGGAAGTGGGAAGGAAAGAGGGTGTGACAGAAAGAGTGGGGCACAGTTCTACATTGGAATAAGATTTTACTCTTCTAAAAAGCATTAAAAAAAAAAAATAGAAATTCAACATGTGGCAGCCAATGTTAATATTGCCCCGAATACATCAGTGCAATTGGAAATTGGAAAATTTACAACTGGTAAATTTTTAACATTGCCTCACCCCATAATCAGATTAAGTTAGTCTTCAGACCAGATAAGCATTTGGAATTAGGGTCACCTGAAAGGGCAGGGTCACTGGCTGTTTAAAGGCAAGAACACCTTTTTCCTCCTTTGTGTTCTAGTGTCAAGAAGAAAGACAGTGATCTTGCTGCAGCATTGTCCAGGGCCAGTGGTTTGGAAGGCCAGCTGAATAAGAGTGAAGCAGCTCTTTCTACAGCTCTAAGCCAGAATGCTGCTCTGACTTCTGAGCTCGCTGATGTCAAGTCTCTGCTGGCTAAGGTGGGTACTATAAGGTTTTCTGTTTAGAATAAAGTTTCTTGGAAATGATAGTTGGAAAAATTATTGCAGAATTGTACAAGTTTACAAGAAATAAAGTCAGAAATTCAGATTAATAAGTAGGCTTTTTGGTGAGGGGATGAGTTGTCAGTGCTGCATCTGTAGTGAAAAATGCAGTTTGTGTTTTTTAATTTAAGAATGGAAGTTAATGTTCTCAGAGATAACATGAAGCACTGGATTGTACCTGTCAATGTGTGACTGATTGCTGGCAGGAACACAGATGCGATTCAATTTGACAAAATGGCAATGCAATGTATTTCTTCTTTTCTAATGCTTGCTAATATCCCCATCAGCGATCTCTGTCTTTCTTAATTTCTGTTTGAATATGTGTAAAAGAAGCGATACCAGCTGATCTTTTGCATTAGATTCTAGTATGGGTAAGCATTAGTACTCCAGTAATAAATTACCTCCACTGGTTTTATCGTATCATGTTTACTCAGGTCCTTATCTGTTCCTGGAGGCATTCACACTTCGCATGCTTATAATTATAAGGCTGTGATCCCACATATGGTTATGAATATACACCAGTGTCAAAACTGCGGTTGGCATAGTTTCTAATAAGACACTGATTTACATATATTGTAGGTAGGGATTTAATAGTCTCTATAGTGGCTCAAAATCTATCAAGCCAGGATTATTTCAAACAACAGATATGTTTGTGGCAGTGTTTTTCACACAAAATTAGGATTTTTTTAAATTACAGATATCTCCTCATGCTGTGTAAGGTGACTTCCAGTCAAGAGCCAAATGGAATTATATTGATCCATTGGAAACTGAAGCACATAATTGTTTAATACTCCACTGCAAGCTGAACTAAAGTGCTAATCATACTTTAGACTCTGTAACAAGCCAAATACAAAATCAGTACACCCATCCATTTTCTATACAACGCTTAATCCTCACCAGGGTACAGTGACGTGCGGTGAGGTTCATGGCTGGTGAGGCACTGACTTCATCAGAATCAGATTTACAAATATATGCACTCTACAGAGCAGCTCATTTGCCATTTGATTGGCAGCAGTTTACGGGTTATGTTTCATATTTGCATTCTTTTCACATACAAGCTGTAGCCCACAAAATGCACATTTTATTTAAAAAAAAATGTTATTGCAAGCTTACCTTTACTCATAAATGAAGTCCGTGTGGTGCTCCTTCTGGACGAAAATATTCATTACTTTTATAAAAGTCTTCCTTATCTTCCTTCAGACTTGGTAATTGTAGATTGTACCTAGCTTGCTGTCACTTACTCTGCAGCCGCGGAGTCACAAGAAGCATGTCTGGGATCATGAGTGCCCCCTGCCATGAGGCCAGAGAACTGTCTGCCTCACCTAGAACCTCTTCTTAGCCGTTTATGATCACTCAGTAAACAAAACACATTACACACATACAGTTGGTAACAAAAAACACTGTACATTATTATATACATCAGCTGAACTATGGAAAATCAGTTCATATATTAAATGTGTTTGAAACATTTTACTGGTGACATACAGACAGCAGGTAGCGAGGGATTACGCAATCCAAGGTGAGGCTCAGCTTGCTGCTGCCTCACCGGCTTCTCTTCCAAGCATTTGAATGAATGGGAAATTGTGAAAATTCAGCGATTTTTGAATGGAAAATAATAATAATAAAAACAGAGAGAATATGCAAATTCCACACAGAAAGATCCCAAGCATCCAAACCAGGACATGAACCAGGGATTTTCTAGCTTCGAGGCGACAGTGCTAACCCCTGATTCACAGTGCAGCCCAAATTAGTACATCTTAATAAAAAGAATAAATTCGTATTCATCCCACTACATACCTTCTTACCACTGATTGCTCTCAGATTGCTACACTGACTTGAATAATGTTATCAGCTCTTGCTACCACAACTTGCCCATGATGACTCAGTCAGCTAAACCCTATGTTGTGCATGTGCTAATTTTTCTTATGGTGTATAGGCAGAGGACAGCCGTGCTGTTGGTAAGCGCCAACTGGAGGCAGAGACACTAATGCGTGTAGACCTGGAGAACCGATGTCAATCATTGAGTGAAGAGCTGGAGTTCAGGAAGAGCATGTTTGAAGAGGTAATGAGTGTATGTGGTGTGTACAATGCATTAGTATTAGGCTTATCAGTACTCTGATCTTTCTTTTTTAATGGCATTTACTGGGTTCATAATGGTACTGGAAATTCTTGAAATCACGTGAATATAAAAGTGGTGTTTTCAAGGTTTTAAAAGTGCTTCTATTCTAATATGACTTCCGAATCCTTATTCACAACCCAGAGATATTCAGATCACAAATTGTTTTGACAGATGGACCAAATCTGTGCAATTTCTGTTGCTTTAAGAATTTTTCCCAGCTCCACTCCCCCATTTCTCCTTGTGTTCAGGAGGTGCGTGAGTCCCGGCGTCGACAGGAGCAGAGAATAGTGGAGGTGGACTCTGGAGTAAGACAGGACTATGAGTTCAAACTGGCACAAGCTTTACAGGTATGTTGGGGGAGGTGAATTCAAGATCAATAAAGTTTTATTCTATTCTACTCTAATTGAGGAACTGTCATTTCCGATGTTGTCATGTCTGTAGTGGGGCTGGCTGATACATACAGTCATGGGAAAAATGAGTAGACCACCCTTGTTTTCTTCAATTTCTTGTTCATTTTAATGCCTGGTACAACTAAAGGTACATTACCTGAAGAATAGGGAATCTGGGCCAGCCCAGATCAGAATTCTGACCCTGTCCGACCCAGATTGGAATCTTGACACCAACTTGGCCCAAATTGGAATTCTGATCTTGGCTGCCCCAGATTGGAATTTGACTTGCTGGCCTAGATCAGAATCTTGGAATTATTATTATTCACATTAAGTGTTGATAAACATGCAAATTCAACACAAAAAATTGTTTTAATACGTTTTATTGACAAATTCTAGAATTTCAGAATTACAGTATAAGAAAACTACATCAGTGTTGCTACATGGTGTTAATCTTACAACATACAAATTCATGTATGCAGCTATGAGAAATGAAAAATTAGAAATTCTACACTTTTTAAAGAATAGGAACATTAAATTAAACAAACTTTCATATTCATCATGCTTTAATGTATGCTACTGCCTTGTAAAATATTTTGAGACGTATACATACTAGTGACAGTGTTGAGAAATGTATTATTTCATGTGATCACATAATATATGTTTAAATTAAAATCTGTTCTGGCATCCCTTGTTGTTTGGATGATGCTTGCACACTTGAGTCCTGCCCGTTTTCAGCGGCACTTGTGTGAAATACAGCAGTGGTTAATCTTGTAACCAAATTTTTCACACCCTTATGCTTTGAAGGTTAAATCAAAGACTACTGAGTAACTCAAAGAGGGTTTCACCTCGTCGCAATATTTACAACAGTTGCATTTTTCTACACTTTGTTTTAGACTCATCTTGAGCATGGATGGTGTTTTCTTAATTTATTGAGGTTTAATTAATAATAAAAGGCTTAAATATTCCATTTACATAAGTATTTGGACCGTTTGACACGTGTAATTGAGCTCTGGTGCTTTTACTTCTATTAGTGAAACTGTTTTGCCACAACTCATAAAACAGATGCAGAGGAAGCGGAGACTGAACTGCACCTCATTAAGTCTGTTTTCCTGCAACAGGGAGTGGGTCAAGATAAAGGGCAGGGTTTTCATTACAGGAGAAAGGCTTAGGCACATCACCTGAATGCACACCGCTTTTTGCAGACCAGATAAAAAACAGACAAAGAATACGTAAGAGAACAATAACCACGTTGAGACTGTTAAGGCCAGTGACTGCAGATCAGAGATGGGAAGCTCCAGATAAAACACCTGCAGAGAGTTCTAAACAAAAATTACGGGACAGGGAAGACTCAAAGCCCCCAGCAACCTGAACTTATAGCAGCATATCTAAGGGACGGCCCAGGTGATTCTGAGAAAACTACAAAACTATAAGCTTTATCAAAAAAGAATGTTTTAAGCCTAATCTTAAAAGTAGAGATTGTGTCTACTTCCCATTCTACCTGTGGAAACTCTGGGAACCACAATTAAACATGCCATCGGTGAGCACAGGGCTCTACTCGGACAACACGGTACAATAAGGTCTTTGAAATGAGATGGAGCTTGATTATTCAGAACTTTTTGTGCGAGAAAAAAGGATTTTAAATTCTACTCTGGATTTTACAGGGAGCCAGTGAAGAGAAGCTAATACAGGATAAATATGATCTCTCTGTCTGGTTCTTGTCAGAACTCTGGCTGCAGAGGTATTAGGCCATCCTGAGAATAAGCTATTCTGCTATTTGAGTATTGTGTGTAGATGGATAAAAAAAAAAAAAAAAAAACAGAAGTGATTTTAGATAAGCAGAGTCTGAAACATAGCGGAGAAAAAAAAGTGAACTCCACTGTATATTGTTGTCAATGAAAAATAATGCCAATCTGGTTAATATGAATGTATGAAAAAGCCAATTGCATCACAGATTAGAACTACAAATGCCATCAATTTAGCTCTACACACTGCAGCATTGTCTTTGAATTTGAAAAGTGATTTAGCCCAATGCTTTTCAGTAATGTTTACACACTTTAGCACCCTGAACTTTTTAGGTATTACTTAACATAATCACCCCTTTAACTTGAAGAATTGCACTTGAAAACTGGGTGTCTAAAAATATGAACAGACACTTGATATTTATACTTGCTTGTATATATAAACACTGTCAAATAGAGAACAAGTGGCCACATTTTGACTTTGACTTGCTAGGTTGTGTTGACAGAATAAGTGCTGTAGAAATTTGCCACATCTTGTTATTTGAATGAAGGCACCCCCAAGGGGAGTTTTCTTCTGTGGATAGCCATTAATCAAGTTTGTGTGATCCCACCAGGACCTAAGGAAGCAACATGATGAGCAAGTCTCCCTTTATAAGGAAGAACTGGAGCAAACTTTTCAGGCAAAGGTGAGACAAAAATCCATTTTTCTACCTCTGAAGGCTTTATGTTTTGGGTTGTCCATATATTTTTCCATCAATTTCTTGTGAACATTATGTCTCTTGAATGTCTTGTTGGATTTAATAAAATTCTGCAAAAATATTTACTTGGTCTTAAAGATGTAGTGATTTTAATTTGGACAAAGGCCACATGAATTCCATTGTTGTGGAGATGAGGAAATTTCATTATATCTGATACAAATTGGGATTCAAGAATTACTTGATTAGAATTTAATGGTCAAAGCGAAATCACATAACGCGTTTTAGAACATAGCTTAACCCTTAGAGGTCCGCCCTCACGCTGGCGTGATATAATCATATGACAATTTTGAGACGTCACGACAAAAAAACTAGTGCACGTACAGTGATGTGGTCAACTTCTCTCCAAAGTGCAGACTTTAACTCTCTCCAAGTTTTTGTTTCACATCGATAGACCACATAAAACCGGAGATATGATGTTATGAACATCTGTGGAAAAAAAAAAAAACGTGTGTAAAATATAAGCATATGAAATATATCGCAGTCATTTTTTATGACGGACAAAACGAAAGTGAAAGAAAGTCCCTAGAAGTGCAGGTCCTGTAATGTGGCTGTCTGCCTCATTCTGGACAGAAACTATTGTCAGGAGTGGCATAAATAAAAACAGAAAGAAAACCACATCTGCTTTGTATATAGTTGCAAATATTTGTATTTAATTTAATTTGATTTTTATATAAAATTTACCTTTTCGAATTTATATCTGCAACCTATGTTTATATTTCAACTTTCAAAATGCTTCATTAAGCATGTTTGTGGTTTTTATTGTAATAAATAATGAATTTTTTCAAATTGGATTTTGTATTTTGTGTGTTTTGGAGCCCTAAATGTGAATTTAGTAGGTTATAGTGAAAAAATAAGATTATATAGATGATGTTGTGCTGAAAACAAAGAAGATACCAAACATGGGCATGGTAGACATGTTTCTATGTGGTATATAAAGACAAAACTAAAAGTATGCAAAATGGCCAAAACAGGCCAAGACCTCTAAGGGTTAAGAGTTCATGTGCTGACAAAATTTCACAGCTGTCTCATTGGTTAAACTGATGAAGTGATGGTGTTTTATATCCAGAAGTCAGGACAGACAGGTGTACACTGCAGCTTGATTGGTTTGTTGAAGGGATACAATCGCAAGTTGTCAATTTTCCTTCCTTTGTCTTTTAATCATTCTCACACATCGTCTGTCTTGGTCTCCCTCTAGTTGGATAATGCAAAGATGTCCTCAGAGATTAATGACAAGGCAATGAGCACAGCGAAGGAGGAGTTACAGGAGTCCCGCACGAGAATAGAGAGCCTTGGATATCAACTTGGTGCCCTGCAAAAACAGGTACTGCTTCATGGCCAGTTTTCATACAAATGTGGACCTCTTCCAGTGCTCTCACAATTTCAAGTACTTCTGCTTTCAGCTTCATGAATTGTAAGTGGCAATACAATTCAGAGTTAATGTTCTGATGTTGGGCTGCATGTATGTTGGTATCTGTAGGTGGCTGCCTCAGAAGATCGTATCAGAGAGCTGGAGGAAATTCTCTCTGCAGAGCGAGACAAGCACCGCCGTACCATTGAAGCAAAAGAGCAGGAGATGGCCGAATTGAGGGAAATGATGAACTCTCAGCTCAGTGAATACCAGGAGTTGCTGGATGTGAAGCTTGCCCTGGATATGGAGATCAATGCGTATAGGAAACTGCTGGAGGGAGAGGAACATAGGTATGCACACTAGCAGGCCTAGATTATATGCTACTAGTAACTATGTGGAACAACCAAATTGTGGTTTTACACAAATATGAATTTCAGATGGGAACTGTCTTCTCAATTCACTATAAAAGCAATTTTTCCTCTTGTAGAGTAATTGAGACAGAATTGTGTAAAAAGTTAGCTTAATGCTATACAGTCTATAAGCAATACATCAGATGTTTTCAATGTTAAGTGCATGGTCCCTGATCAAATAGATAAAATAATGTAATAATGTCTTGTTTATGTAGTAGAAGCTGTGGAGAAAATGCAAAAACTAGGCGGATGGAACCTTTATTTTTATTAGTATTCTTACACTATTAGTGCCTTATTTCTCATTTAAATGACAGATTGTGACAGCCTTCTCTTGCTAGCTTCTGACAGCTCAGACATCGCTCTGCCAAGGAGTAGTGGCTAGCCAATAATTCACTGGGGACTGTTGTGCTTCTTTCAGACTGAAGCTGTCCCCCACCCCGTCTACTCGAGTCACTGTTTCCAGGCTGACAGGATCTTCCTCCTCCCGCTCCTTCAAGAGAAAGAGAGTGGAGGTGGAGGCTAAGGATGTGCCAGAGATGGAAAGAGAGGGGCAGCTGCTGGTGTCAGAAGAGGCCACAGCAAGTGGAGCAGTCACTATATCACCAACTGACATGGATGGAAACGCAGTCACCCTCAGCAACGATACTGAGCAGGTCTGTAAGAGGAAACTACTTGCAACAGTTGGTAATTATTGGGGCTGCCGCTATAGCTCACCTGGCTAAACTAGCGACCCATGTTCAGGGCTACAGTCCCCGATGCAGCAGGTTCGAATCCCGCTCATGGCCCTTAGCTACAACTCCTTCCCCAATTCTTCTCCCCCACTTCCTGTCTCTCTCTTCACTGTCCTATATAATAAAGGCAAAAAGGCCAAAAAAATAACTTCAAAAAAAGTTGGTAATTATTGCATCACATAGTTACAACAAAAAGCTGAATATTAAAGGCTTTTTTACGGTTGGATTTGTTAAGATAGAAAAACCTGAAAGAAAGTAAACACACAGAAGCCCCTTAAACTCAGAAACAAGTTTCCCCAAAACGGTTTGTAATAATAAATGAATTGCATTTTTATAGTGCGTTTTTTTGTTGTTGTTTTTTTTTTTAAACCTTAGTGGACAAAGCATTTTATAACAATGGTTTCCTTGTGTTTTGCAGGACCAGCCTTTGGGAAACTGGAGACTGAAGAGACAAGTTGACGATGGGGAGGAGATCATCTACAAGTTCTCCCCAAAATTTATCCTCAAGGCTGGACAGTCAGTTACGGTAAGATACAGTCATGGAAAAAATGATTAGACCACCCTTGTTTTCTTCAATTTCTTGTTCATTTTAATGCCTGGTACCACTGAAGATATATTAGCTGAAGAATACAGTGAACATGACAAAAAATGCAGCTGATTGCATAATACTTTATGTCCTATTTGACATGCTTAAGCTTAATTGTATTCCCAGGGTATATAAGAGGCCATTTCATGGCATAAGCAGCACTGCACATGCAAAGGCCTAGAGTGGTTTCCTGCTTACATTCAAGCCGTAGCACAACTCAGAAGCTGTCAGCTCTCACATGATGCCTAAAACAAAAGAATTATGTGAAGCCACAAAGGCAGCCATCTTGACACTCCTGGAAATTGGCATGAGTGGGAGACAGGTGACAAAAAACTGAGGATCTCCAAGACAGCCGTTCATTACACCAAAAAAAAGCAAGCCCAACACGGTCCTACCAAATTGTTAGCTGGTCACGGCAGGAACCGTCTTTCTACTTGTCCAAACAAATGTACCTTTCATGGTACCAGAGGACTATGTGTGGAAATAGACCCTGTGATTTGTCATGTTAAACACTGAATTGGTAAAACTCTTCTTATTTTCATTTTACTTTGATTTTGTATTCAAGCCTCTGTGTTGTTTTTACTGACTTGTAAAGTTGAGAGACTGATAGGTAAGCAGGGCTAGACGAATGGCACTAGTAAGCATCATTATGTTTTTACAGCTTCAAGTTTGTGGTACATACAAAATAAAAACAAAACAATAAAAAACCAAAAATTTTCACCATATGTGATCCTTGATGTATTATCGATTACAGTTTGACATGTACAGATTGTAGAAGTTGTGTAAGCTTCTTCATTCTAAACATTTTCTTTCCTTTTTTTGTTTTGTATTATTTCTGTATATGTTTACCTGCACAGGTGTGGTCCACTGATGCTGGTGTGGCCCACAGTCCACCATCTGACTTGTTGTGGAAAAGCCAGGCTTCCTGGGGCACAGGAAGTGACATTGTTACCTCTTTGATCAACGCTGATGGCGAGGTAAAGACATTCATGCATGATGAACTCTTTTCTCTGCTTGAGCTGCATACATGATTGTCTGTTTTGACTCATCTAAACTGTCCTGCAGGAGGTGGCGAGGAGGAGTGTGACCAAGACTCAGGTGGAGGTAGAAAATGGAGAGGAAGAGGAGGAAGTGGCACAAACGGTGACTACAATTCAGATATTTACACAGGACTGTTATTCTATGTCGAGAAATGTGTTCAAATTTTCATACAAATTATTTAAAAACATTTTTAAAAACATCATCCATAATGGATTTTAGTGCAATCTGTATCTGTAAACCGGATATAGGGAAATTTAGAATTCTAATTCAAAAGGGTTCACTGCCACACTGATTGTCTAACAGATGGGCTTCCAATCAATGTCAGTGAGGCTGTCTTTTTGCATCAGGTCTATATATGCCAGATGAGCTTGCATGCTGAAGCTGACGTTCAGAGACATAAGAGACCAAGGGAGAGCGATGGTCTTGGGGCAGTTTGGTTATTTAACAAAATAAAATGTTATGCTTCTGTTTAGACATTAAAGATGCAATGCTTCCTTTTGGCCTAATTAAGCTTTCTGTGTCCGCAATGGTATACGTGGCATACATTTTTTTCATTCATCCAAGGCTGCATGGACAGTTGCAGACTTGGATAGATGCCTCTACAGACAACCATTTGCATCCCAAAATTTGTGACTGTGTGGACTGTTTGCACTGTGCTTGTTATGAGGAGAGACTGAACAAAGAGATTCTGTCATCCACACCCTTTTAATTCATCATGAAAGAGCTGTAATTGAAGTAGTCCCCCCTGAACTTTGTGGGTGGTTTGATCTGTACATGCTTTCTATCAACAATGCCCAGACACAGTCATAAGTTAGGGACATTTTTGGGGTCTTATAATTTGTCCACCCACTGTGCTTGGCACACTTTAGGAATAGTCACATTGACACGGTGTATGGTCTCATCTTTAACCAGCTGCTACAACCTGTAAAAAGTGACAAATCGCAGTCTTTTAGAAACATCTATGAGAGCCTACTGTGTTTTTCTGTGTTTGATATTGGGAGCAATGTGACCGTCTGTGTAACAAACCTTGAGGTACCTGTTGTAGTATAAATAGAACTACAGTTTCAAAGTCAGCATTGATCTGTGGACACAAAGCCTGAGCTGGCCCTTAAGCAGCACTCACTATCAAGTTGTAGCACTGCTTGTGATCCATATATGTATCACCTGGGATCCTTCCAAATACTTTTCAGTCTATCAATGGATCAACGTTTGTGATAGGAGAAAAAATGCCTCATAAAATGTTTTATTTTGACTGTAAACCTTTGTTTCTCCAACAGGGCAGAGTGTCGTCCAGAGAGTGTGCCATCATGTGAAGCCTTCCTGTTACATGGATGGCTTTGACTTCCACATTATATGTTTTTTTCCCCCCAGACCCGCTCAGATATCATCTTATCCATTCTCTTATCAATTGGTGTTTTTACTGTTCAAGACATTATGAGAATTTTTTTAATAATGGACTCTGCTTACTGCCCTCCACATTTTTGGACCTACTTTAATATGGGTCACTTTCCTAAATACTACTAGCTGACACTAGTAGATAAAACAAAGGTGATGGATCCAAACAATTTAACTGTGGAGTTGCATCTGAATATTTCCACCCATACAAATAGTACTCTACATATCGAAGATCCATTTCATTGTCTGTCTTGTACTCTTAAGTAAGTATTTGGTTTCATCCTTTAAGCACAGCAGAACACAATGTTTACTTAGTATAAAGTATCTCTGAGACATTTATTTTCGACACATTCAAAGCCTTTTCTAAATTTGTTTCTCCTCTATAACACTGACGTGGTTACCCAGATTTTACCCGCTGCTTAATTTTCTTTGTATTTTTTATTTATATCTTCCTTTGATCTGCATACATTGCAAATGCCATGAATGCCTGTTTAGATAAAGCATTCTTTTGCAATTATGTTGAATTTCCTTAATCAAAAGTGAGTTTGCAAATCCACTGCTGGTTTGCAGCCAACTGTCAGCTGACCCGATCACGTAGACTGCCACAATTCTTGAGGCTGCCCTCCCATCAATCTGTTTTGTCACTGTGCACCTTTTCTTTTCTCGTCCTTATTTCTAAAATACAACATTGAAATGTGATAGTTGATCAGATCTCTGTCTGTCTTGGCAGAGCTAAATTACAGACAAACATGATCTCTGGAAAGATTCAGAGGTAGGTGTTTGAAGCCTTTTGACGTTATCTTACAGTTTTTTTACTTATTACTTTCAGGGGATTTCGACTGACAACCTTTGATTTCTGATGACAATTACATGGAAAAGTCAGAGAATCCATTATCTCTGCTGCCGTTGGGTGGTCTGTAGTGGAAGTAAAATTTGCTGTATCAAGAAAAACAGACTGTTGACTCTGTCTTATCCAGGCAGTCAAAGGAAAATAGCTTCAGAACAGGGATATGAGTTGTTTTTTTAAAAAAAAAAAATATATATATATACTGTAAACTACTAGATTAGCTATGCAGCCTGAGGGCATGGTTGGAACTAGGTAGCTGTATGGGCAGCAGAGTGGGTGTGTCAGCAGTGGCCAGTTCATATCACATTTTTCTTAGAAGCATAGTGGAATGAAAACCTTAAGTGCACACTACGATCTTAAGTTGGTACAAATAATCTTTTGGTCAAATTCTCGACAATTTTTTATTTAATTTTTTTTTTAAACTTCTGATTACTGTGAGTGCAGTGGTCACAGATATTTCTGCTCTGATTCAGTTCCCCAACCAACAAAGATACGTGGTTTCAGATTTGCTAAACATTGAGTCTCTGAGCCAAAGGACCTGAAGCCACACGGACCAGAAACCGTGTATGCATTCTCAAGGAAGGAAATGAAAGTTTAAGTTAGCTTTATCCAGCAACCATGTAATGTCTGGAGCCACAATGCAGACTACCAGGAGAAAACCTAGTGGCAACCATTAACACCCAATGTCAGGAAACCAGCTGTTATAATAGATAGGTATATTGACAACCATTAAATTGGTAGCTGGTTGTTGATGTGGTTGTCAGCTCTGTTGTAATAACAGTGACTGAGTTTAAAATCCTGGGACTGTCCTTAAACAATGCAACATTGCTGTTCTTAAATTACTGCAGTGGCCAGAATATTAATGGAGTTGCAGCTGGTGGGTGAAGGTGTTGTGTTTCGCTATGACACTGAAATATGATATAAAGAAAATCTCTGACTGTCTTTGTTAATCTGGACTATTAACCTGACCATAAATTGCTTTCATTGTCAAGTACGCACATGGTGAACTGTAAAAGCAACACTTTTATGATACAGTGTCTGATGGAATATTCTGATGGACTGTATTGTCTCCATCTGTTTCCTGTTAGGCTGTTTATGAGTGTTTCTCTTACAACTGTTGTGTGTTCTTGTGCGTTTATATGCTGTGTGTTATATTGCTAGTTTTTCTATATAATGCTTGTCTATATAATCAGTTTGTTAACATGAACTTCATTTATTATTTTGTGTCTAGGATTTCTTGGGTGGTAAAGATAGGGTTTTTTTGACCTAAATAGAAGGAGAAAACTGATTCTTGGGCTTAAATATATTTCAGGGTTCATACAAGACAGTTACTGAACACTATTCCTCAGTGTCCTACTTGGAGTTTTAAAGTCGTTACATAAGTTAAAGATATGAAAACCACTTTCTGAGTCAATGCAGGCAAAAAGCAACAACTGCTTGTGCAATTACTATTGAGTAACCAACATTGAACAACTGAACACTCCAATCATGGATGAACTGTCACATGGCTTGGGTCTGACTTGTTCTGTTGCATTATGTGACTGATAGTCATGTGAACTTTCGATATTCTTCATGTGGGGGTTGGGGCATGCCAAGTGTCAGTTTTCTTTCATGATTTACTGTTACTACTTTTTGTACACAATAAATGTTTTTGCATATACACATTTGGTATCAAGTTGTTGTTTTTTTTTTAACATACACGCAAGTCAAGTTAAACTGAAGACTGTCTGTTCATCTCAAGGTATGATTTATATATAAATCTTTAGAAGTGCAGGAAGTAGTAACCTTTAATTTTCTGCTGAGATCTGACCATTTATAGTATTATTCACTTTGAAAATGTCTGAGCTGATATCAGTGAAATTTTAAAGTGATTTATAGATACCAGATAAATGCTACGTATTATTACTGTTCATACCCTGCATTGTGTATCCTTAAGTGTTTCAAAGCTTGTCTATTCTATACATATTAAAGTCCCGACGTTGCTATGTAAAGTGCTCTGATAAAACTTGTTATGATTTGGCATTATATCACTAAAAAAAATTTGGTAGAGAACATGCTTTGTCTTTAGAGCTCATTTCACCTCATCTCATCTCCTTCAGCCATTTGCTCCGCTCAGGAAGTTGGATTAAGAAGGTAAGGTTTGTCTAGGATTTAGTTTTTAAAGTGAGCCCTAGAAAAGCAAAATTGGAACAAGTTTCTCCAACCATCCTCAAAATAATATACAAGTATGCAACTGTGGTGCCTCTAACTAAAAACTATGACAAAAGGTTTAAGAGATTAGCGCCACTGTTGTAGCTCTGTGTCACCGCATCTGAATGTATGAAAAGTTTTGTATAAATACATTCAAATGTGTGAGTGTAGAAATGCTTTGATCACATGAATTAAAAAATGTGAATGAATAAATATAATCAAAAACAATTTGAAAAAGATTTGCACAAATAAGTTCATAAAGAAAGTTAACTCATGTATAATGCATGTGTGAATCCTAAGTTGGGCTGAGAATGTTTCGGCCAACTGCTATCACTACACATTCCACCTGGAGTGCTGTGAGTCCAAGTATTTCTCCACTCTACAGATATCTTCAATTTATTTTATTTTTTTGCATATTTGTCACACGTAGATGTTTCAGATCAACAAACGCATTTTAATGTAAGACAAAGACAACCCAAGAAAACACAAAACACAGTTTTTAAATGATTTCATTTACTGAAGAAAAAAAATGCTCTCCCGCCATACCTTGCTCTACATGAAAAAGTAATTCCCACCTTAGCTACCAATCTACCAATTGACCAAATTCCTTTGGCTATTGGGTTCAGTTTCACCAGCCACACCCACATATGATCACTGCCAGGCTCGTTGAATCTAAATATCACTTAAAGAAAACCTATCTGGCATTGTGAAGTCGGTTAAAGGGTCGCAAAAACATGATGGCACATGATGTCACATTTTAAAGAGATTCAAGAGCAGATGCAAAACAAAGTCACTGATATTTATCAGTCTGGAAGGGTTACAAAGCCATTGCTAAGGCTCTGGGACTCCAGAGAACCACAGTGAGAGACATCATCCACAAATTGAGAAAACATAAACAGTAGTGAACCTTCCCAGGAGTGGCCGGCCTACCAAAATTCCTCCATGAGCGCAGAAACCTCTCATGTAGGAGGTCACAAAAGAACCCAGACAAATGTCAAAAGAACTGCAGGCCTCCCTTGCCCCAGTTAAGGTCAGTGTACATGATTCTACAATAAGGAAGGCACCAGGCAAAAATGGCATCCACGGGAGAGTTGCAAGTCACAAAGCACTCCTGACCAAAGTGAACATGAGGCCTGTTTGGCATTTGCAAAATAACATCTAGATGAGCCCCAAGACTTTGAAGATAACATCCTGTAGACTGCTAAAAACAAAGGTGAAACTTTTTGAAAGACATAGGTCCATTACATCTGCCATAAAGCTAATACTGCATTCCACAAGAAGAACATGATACTAAAAGTGACACATGGTGGTTGTAGCGTGATGGTTTGGGGCTGATTTGCTTCCACAGGACATGGATGACTTGTCATAATTGATGGAACCATAAATTCTGCTTTCTCACAGAAAATCCTCCTGGAGAATATCCACACATCAGTTCATGACCTAAACCTCAAGCACAAATTATGCAGCATGACAATGACCCAAAGCACACAAGCAAATTCACCTCTGAATCACTCAGAAAGAACAGAATGAAGGTTTTGGAGTGCCTGAGTCAAAGTCTGGACTTGAATCCAATGGAGATGCTGTGGCAAGATCTTCAAAGAGCAGTTCATGTCAAAAACCACCAAGGTGGCAGAATTAAAACTATTCTGCAGACAAGAGTGGGCCAAAACTCCTCCATGAAAATGTGAAAGACTGATCACAAGCTATCACAAATGTTTAACTGCAGTTGTTGTGGCCAAGGGTGGCCAAGCAGCTATTATGATTAGGGGAGTAATCACTATTTCAAAGGGGTGATAGGCTTTTAATTAATTTTCAATAAGCCATTGTTTAAAACCCATTTTTTGTGTTTTGTGGGTTACCTCTGTCTAATATTAAATTACTATAAATATGAGTTTGATGACCTGGAACATTTTAAGTATGCAAAAATAGAAGACCCCAGGAAGGGGGCAAATACTTTATCAAAGCATTGTCTATTTCAGTAAACGTCCAGGTACTTTCTAAATGATTAAAAATGCTTCAGTAAATTAAGTACTTAGGGAGTTTTTATTTTATTTTCTATAATTTTGCTACAATAAAATCTGTCTGTCGTTGACTGCTTAGTCAAAGGGGATCCAAAAGGAACTTTGAATTGTTGGGTTCCTCTGTTTAAATTTGTGAGGTCTTTACCTCACTGTGTTAAGTGCAAGGAGATGACATATGTTGTGTAAAAAGTACAAGATATAAAACATGTTCAACTGGATGTTTTTTAATATCTGTTATTTTAAATTTTGAGTTTTTAACTAATAATTATCACCCTGAGATGTGTCCAGTTGTTGACCTACATTATTTGGGTATAAAAATATGCAAAGTTGCATAAAGATTTTTTTTTTTTTAATTTTTGCTGACATGTTGGAGTCAAAGTGGGGATCTTGGATATCTCTCTTTTAATCACTTTGTTAATCAGAAAATACTGTCAGCAGCCATAAATCTTCTACCTTTACCATTTTTTTCTTAATTTTTTTTTTTTTTGAAATACAATATTACATAAATCAGGCTGTAAATGATGTATAAACCAACTCCTTTGTAAAAACAGAATAGACAGGGTAAAAAACATAAAGTCTAGTCTAGCTGGTAAATGGGACTAAAGTGGCAATTTCTGGATCAGAGGATGAGGGGAAAAAACAAACAAGTTTTTACAATTCCGAACATTGTCATTGGACGTTACTATTTACAGGTAAAAATGTAACCAATAGATATCCCCATAAAAAAGTCCTCAGTTTATTGCTTAAATTTGTCTTTTGTTGCAGTGTGCACAATCATTTAGCATCTTGTTTTGTACATGTTATTAGACAATATTGTGTCACAATATTATTAAGCCACATGGAGTGAACTTTGGCTCCAGAAGAGGGCAGTAATGCGGTAAAAGCAATGGCTGCAAGAGAGACACCAGAGAAGAAGAACTCCGCTGGGGTTCCGGGTTGATGGCTGTCTGTTCCTGAGAGTGACTTCTGCTGTTCAGGATGCTGCTGGTTCTGTCTGAAGAACATAAAGAACACCTCGCCTTCCTACCGAAGGTGGACACAACAGGTCAGTAAGTAGTCTGTGAGCATTCAACGGAGGATCAGCTGACTTTGCTCCGCTGTTAACTGCTGACTGTCAGCTGATTTCTAGCTTCCATCAGCTGTACTGTAAGAATTAGTCTGTATCACCAACACAGATAAAAAAATAAAAATAAAATAAAATCACACAGTGCCAGTAGTACTGCTCTGCTGACTGATTTTATGTACATGTGTACATGTTTCGAGCAGGAAAATATCAGAGGAACAATTTTATACTCGAAAGTGTTAAATACCTTAAATAGACTACAGCAGCAGACCATCATGTGTACTATAAACATGTTTGATATGAATACTCCTTTTAGAAGATCATTAGTAAAGTCCCTGTTAAAATAGTGAAGTGGAACAAAAAGTGCTGCACTTTCCTCTGAAAGCTGGTGATTTAGATGTAGTAAAGATGCATCAATTGCTAACTAAACAGTTATATTTATAGATGCCCTATGATGATTTAAAAAAAACAACAACAACACTATTATTATTATTATTATTATTATTATTATTATTAGTAGTAGTAGTAGTATTATTATTATTATACCTTGTTAGAATGTAAATGTGGTGTTTTAAAAGTACAGAAAGCATACTGTGAGCAAAGTGTCAAAGCAGTCAGCAGCAGGGCTGAGTATTTCCAGGCTACTCAGGCTGTATATGAAGATGGATCAACCCTCTATGACATCAGCAAAAGATTTACTGAAGAATGGTTCTGAAGATCAGTTTGCTGGCTCCACAGACTGTGTATAAAAGATGCACATAGTCACTGGGACATCACCAGTTGGTTTGTGGAGCACCATTTTGACGCCTCAAGTCTGGTATTTTGCTGTTGCCATGTTGATCTTTTGAATCTGAATGAGTGAGGGGTGGATCTGACCAAACTAGAGTCATTTTATTGTAGACTTCTCTGCAGTCTGATTTGACTTCTTTCCACAATCAGAGGAGTCGCCCTTTGCTAGCTGTTAGTAAGAATGCAGGTTTAAGTCAATTCAGGTTGCCTTCATTTTTTTAGACCTGATCCCTGCCCTGCGAAGCAGGATTTGGGGTTAATGAGATAACTTCAGGTTAAACTCTGGATTTTTGGTACTAACATGGTGGTTCAGTTCTTACTAGATACCATGAAGGTAACTTATGCTGTACTCCTAACCTGCTCCGCAGCAGGTTATGTTCTAGATAACAGGTCAATGCATATAAATACACCTCCTACTGACCAATCAGTTCTCTTGGAAAATGTCATCAACATTTGGAGATCCAGAGGAGCACGTTTCACAGACAGTAAGAGGATAAGAAGGGAGTTTTTAGATTTGGTTCCTTCTCAATGTTGCCGACCGCTTGCTCAGAGGGAGTCCAAAGGCAACTTTGGATTGTTGTGTTCTCTGTTTAAATTTGTAAGGTCTATACTTACTATGTTAAGCGCTGTGAGATGACATATGTTATAAACTGCACGATACAAATAAAATAGAATTGAATTGAATTATACACAAAGTGACAGTGATATTAACAAACTTATTAATTACGCTTTCACATGGTCTGCAGTTTTTTCAGCTTTCTTTGATGACATTTGCTACAGCAGTTGTACAGCAGTTGTTTTTAGCCTGTATTACATTTTAAACTCTGCATATTGCTTTAGCCCCTGTGATAGACTGGCGACCTGTCCAGGGTGTCCCCTGCCTTCGCCCTAAGTCAGCTGGGATAGACTCCAGCCCCCCCACGAACCTAATGAGGATTAAGCGGTGTATAGATAATGGATGGATGGATATTGCTTTAGGATCATAGTTAAATAGTACAGGCCCCTGGTGGCTGCATCCATCTTTTGTATACAGAGTATTGGTAGCTCAGGCTGTCACCATGTTGGCAGTGTCTGACTCCTTCTAACACCTGGCTAATCCAGAAATGAGTGAAAAGGTGAAGCATGAGTGGAGTGTCTCTGAGCCATGGACTGTCCTGTGATGGCACCTGAAAGCAGCCATATCAATAACTATGCATAATATAAAATTTTAATACAGTATAAACAAGTTATGTAAATATTCACCCTAGTGCAGTTGTCATGAACTAGAAAATATACTATACTGTCCAAAACAGTTTTTGTGCCAGGCTGTGAACATGTTTATTTCTACCATAAAATTGGACATTATAACATGGGGGTATAGAGGGATTGACTGAAGCTTGGTGTATCATCAGTCTTCTTTAAATTCAGTTTCATGTTGGAACATGTATGGCTGAATTATTGTAATATTACAATTTACTATTGTGTAGCATGCAGTAGTTTCACAGTTTTTAATAAAAATTGTAACTGTGCTGTTGTGCTCAAGCTGCAGTTAAAAGGAGAGAATTGAGGAATCCATTGGTCTGCACATTGTGGAGGAAGCAACAGTGTAGAGTTACATCTAAGCCATTTTAACTTTGATTCACAGAGATGAGCTCATAGGTGTTAAATCAGCAAAATAAATGAATACATGTATTTAGTTACATCCCAACAGTGGTTTTACAAAATGTTACCTGTGTATTAACTTCAGTGCATTTCAGATACATGGCCTTTTACTCTTGGAATATATCAACATTTCTGTATGAAAACCCTCATAGAGTCTTTTAAAAACAAATTGAGAAAAGCAACTTATCTGTAACTTAACACTGGTTTGTATTTCATTATTAATAAGACAAAATTTTGTTGGGTCTAAAAAATAAAGTCATACATTAATTAATTGTAAACTTGTGAGAATAGTTAAGGGACATAGTGGCATAAGTTTTGTCTGTATATTATTGTGTTATTGGTCAGCTGAACACATTGATTGTTGCATGATAGCACTGATATACTGTGTATGTATATTGTTTTTTGTTTTTTTTGTCCTCAGTGGTTGGAGAATTTGGTCGCATAGCGTTGGAGTTCCTAAGGAAAGGAACTAGCCCTAAGATTTACGAGGGAGCAGCCAGTAAGATCTCTGTCTATCTCTATCTCTCTACACGTACACACAGCATGAACAAACCAAAGAGGTGCACAATAAAAAGAGTGAGACAACTGTCAGACTGAGTGCAGCTCATTAGTACGTAGTTAGTAACTAAAGAAGACAAAGCATGAAGACTTTGAAATGGTTTGGCCGTGCTCTGTAGGTGGAACAAACTGGACGTAACAGTTTCATTAAAGTGTGTCATGTTATATCATGGGTGGTTTAATTTCATTATTGCTACTGTTAAATAGAACTGTGTTAATCATTCTTGTTATGTACCACCCTCCAGAACTTTAAATATAGCTCATAATGCATTACTGCTTGCAGGAAAACTGTGTGTTTCAGTAGAAATAATACAGCATGGAGTGGAAGGCCTGATGTTTCTGATGTTAGAGAGCTCCAAACACATGGTGAGTAACACACTATCCAATGATTCTCTCTGCAAAATGGTTGAGGTTCATGGAAACTGTCAAACACCGCCAAGATTACTCTGAATTCTAAGTTCCATTCCACAGTTCAGTTCCTTTTTCAACACATGTATCATGATGTGAAATATGCAGCAAGAAGGAGAGGGCTTATAAGTCAACATTGGTAACGTTGAATGGGTGCATTATCATACTCTTGAGTTTAGATTAGATGTACAGATGTGTGTATGCAGAGTTTTTGTTTCAGTATTTCCTTTCACATCTGAGTTTGTGCCCTGGCATAGCAGGAGAGCAGCATAAATAACAGCTGACATTAATAGCGGCTTTGTTGCATTTAGTCCCTGTACATCTGATCAGTAAGCCTAAATGAACATTTACCAGGGACAATATAATGATTATACCACATGTGTTTGTGACATTTTGTGTGTGCCTTGTTGTGTCATCATGAATACTAAAATACTAAAAACAGGCTAGCCAGATATTCTACCTGCTGAGGTCAAAATCAAATTGTGTGTGTCTGTGTGTGTCTGTGTCTGTGTGTGTGTGTGTGTGTGTAGCTCACTGAAGTGGATTTCTTGGACTCAGTCTTGGTGTTGGGGTTTGATGAGGAGCTTAACCAGATCCTCTTACAGGTGACTTTTTCATTGATTTATTCTATGTGGAAATGATCTGAGCAGTGTGTACTTTATATTTGTCAGTATGTTATTTTCAGTATGTAATGCATTCCCTGGATTCTTTTGTCACAGCTCTACCTGAAACACCACAGTCAAATCCGCAGCATCCTGAGTCATCTGCCTTCCAATCTGCCTGCCTATCACAACCTGGAATGGAGACTGGATGTACAGGTGTGCAGGTTCATTAAACTCAGACTTAGATAAACTTTAATGATCCACAAGGGAAATTGTTTTATGTTTTATGCTAGATGATTATATTATTTAACTGCTGTTGTTATATTTGTTACATTTTGCAATGTGTAAAATAAAAATACACTGCTCAAAAAAATAAAGGGAACACCTAAACAACACAATGTATCATCAAGACAATCACACTTCTGTGAAATCAACCTGTCCAGTTAGAAAGCAACACTGATTGTGAATCAGTTTCACCAGCTGTTGTGCAAATGGAACAGACAACAGGTGGATATGAGAGGCAATTAGCAAGACAACCTCTATAAAGGAGGGGATCTGCAGGTGGTGACCACAGACCATTTCTCTGTTCTCATCCTTTCTGGCTGATGTTTTGGTGACTTTTGCATTTAGTCAGTGCTCTCAGCCCTAGAGGTAGCATGAGGCGGTGTCTACAACCCACAGAAGTTGCTCAGGTAGTGCAGTAGGGCAGTAGGAGGGCAACAACCCAGCGGCAGGCCACTAATATGCATGCTTCTCCTCAAACTGTCAGAAACAGACTCCATGAGGGTGGTATGAGGGCCCGACGTCCACAAGTGGGGCTTGTGCTTACAGCCCAACACTGTGCAGGGAGATTGACATTTGCCAGAGAACACCAAGATTGGCAGATTGGCCACTGGCGCCCTGTGCTCTTCACGGATGAGAGCGGGTTCACACTGAGCACATGTGACAGAGTCTGGAGACACCGTAGAGAACGTTCTGCTACTGTGGAGAACATCCTCCAGTATGACCGGTTTGGCAGTGGGTCAGTAATGGTGTGGGGAGGCATTTCTTTGGAGGGCCGCACAGCCCTCCATGTGCTAGCCAGAGGTACCCTGACTGCCATTAGGTACCAGGATGAGATCCTCAGACCCATTGTGAGACCATATGCTGGTGCAGTGGGCTCTGGGTTCCTTCTGATGCATGACAATGCAAGGCCTCATGTGACTGAAGTGTGTCAGCAGTTCCTGCATGATGAAGGCATTGATGCTATGGACTGGCTTGATTTACATTGATCATTTTTATGTTATCTTGTTCTCAATGCATTCTACTATGTAATGAATAAAGATTTTCAACTGGAATATTTCATTCATTGAGATTTAGGATGTGTTATTTTAGTGTTCCCCTTTTTTTTCTTTTTCTTTGAGCAGTGTATGTTTGTTAACTGAGTAGTTGTTAAAGGTTCCTTCCAGTCGTGCATTAACACACCCTCACCCTAACCTAGACCCTAACTAGAGCTGCTTGTCAACCAATTGTGAAGTTGGTGGTTCAACCCCTAATACTGCTGGAGAGCACCTTGCATGGCAGTTACATCCAGATTGGTGTGTGAGTGTGTGTGCATAGGTGAATAAGAAACACATTGTAAAGCACCTCATGGAGCCCAGCTCAGGTTATAAAAGTGCTATGTAAGTGCAGGCATTTACCTATAATTACATTAAAATAATAAATAATGACTGATTTTGTTATGCAAAAGAAAAGTTTTAGTAATTTGTTAAAAAAAAAATTTGAAAAGATTCTGGACTTTTAAATAATTATATTGTTCATTTCAGAGGTTTCATATTAAAAAGAGCTCTCCTACTACTTTTACTGCTATAAAGTCGTCATTCCATGTGTGCTGAAAACACTTCTGTTGCCAATTGGACTGAGAAATATTTGTCATGTGATGGAGTTTTTCTTCTTCGGTAAATTACTGCAATAAGCAGTACATTAAAATACACTAATTAGCCACAGTATTAAAACCACTGACAGGTAAAATGAATAACACTGATTGCCTCAACACAGTGACACCTGTTGGATGGTATTCATTTGGCAACAAGTTAACAGTCATTACAAATTGATATGTTGGAAGCAGGAAAACTGGACGAGTGAGTCAGAGCATCTCCAAAACGGCAGGTGTTGTGGGATGTTCTTGTATGCAGTAGTTAGTACCTTCCAAGGAAGGACAACCAATGAACCAGCGACAGGGTCAGGGTGTGGCCCATGTATACGAGCAAAACACGTTTTTTAGTGGAATGGGATTTAGGGTAATCAATTACAAGTTCAACGGAATGGATTTTCATCATCAGACCCTTTAAGCCTGTGTGGAATCATCTAATATGACACCACAAGCTAGCAGGCACAGAATATGTAAAGGAGGAAGACATTGTTCACTACACATTGAAAAATGGCATGAGGTGATTTATATTCATAACCTGTCTTCAAAAATGTGGTGTCCTTGGCACTTGAAGCTGTGAAACTTTATCAATATTCATACATTCAGTATCTTCTTTTTTTTAATCCCTTTTTTGTTTCTTTGCTTCTTCTTCTTGTGGTTTCCTTTTGCCTTCTCTTTTCTGACAGTTGGCTAGTCGTTCGTTCCGTCAGCAGGTGATTCCCATGCTGACAATGCGTCTGATCCTGACAAGAGGTTGTGTCAGCCACAGTGATTACAGCAGCAGGGTGCTTCAAACAGATCCCAGCACCCTCCTATATCTCATCTCCACACTGGAGGCAGCTCTGGCTGCCATTAAAACAAGTCATGCTCGCCGCATATTGCGCAACATCAAATAATCCTCCCAGATTCTGATTTCTGTGAAACATATTACTCCTGCCACCTGCAGAACACCAAATTGCCTTTATGCCTACAAAGCATAATCAGTGTTTTTCAGTGCAGTGTGTATTGAAGACTGTTTTTTTTTCTTTTCTTTTCTTTTGTTCTGTCCTTGGATGTTTACTTAGGCTTTTGACAACCTACTAACAAAGAGTCAGAGTTTTATTACTCCTGGAGTCAGGTTTTGTGCCAAATTGTATTGACTTTGTTATATGCAATGTTTCTACAGTGCTGTTGATATTGCATTAAAGTGTGAGACTAATGATTCCAATGCCATTTTTGTGGTTTGTCAAAGCCATGCAAAGGCTCAGATGCATGGGTTTTTAGATGACACCTTAAGTTTAGACACACTTGTGTAAACTGTGCTCTACAAATATGAATGCAGCAAACACAACCACAGATGCATTCAAGTAACCTCTAATGGTTACTGTCTCTTTACACAGCTCTATCACACAAAACATGGTGTGCAAAACAAGAGTTTAGGAGGGTTGTGATATGGATGAAAATTTAGAACTTAGAATACCATGTAAGGCAGGGGTGTCAATCTCAAAAACACAGTGGGCCAAAATTTAAAACCTGAACAAAGTCGCGGGCCAACATTGAACAAATGAACCTTTTAATATGGGCCGAGACAAATTTTGCTTTAACATTGAATATGGAACAAGCAACGCTTATTCCCATACATTATATATTACTTAATAGTGGAGATATGCAAAATCAAATTATAAATAAAAAAACACATCAATGGCACAGTGACAGTTGTAGTGTGAAGTCGCTATGCCTACTGTCACAGAGGAGAGGGAGTTTCTGGGTCCTGTCCTGATTGACGCGCCAAAACAACAACAGGGCATTATGGGATTTGCAGTATTAGCGGTGAATGTGATGTACAGTATAATACCGGGGGCAGCTCTCGTAGTCATTTGGTATTGTCTCGCATTACCAAATATAATTACAAAGCGGGCCAAATTTGGCCCGCGGGCCAGAGTTTGACACCCCTGATATAAGGTATGGGGCAGTAAACAGGCTGCGTAGCATATTTCACTTTCAGTGGTTCACTACCATAGCAGTTTTTTTGGTGAAACAGGATGTTTATGTTCTTTGTTCAAGTGAGGAATTTTCATTCTAGTATTTCATTTGTAGGAAACTGCTTTTGATAGCATGATTTTGTTTCTGGGCTGAGAAAAAGAAACGTGCCAAAGTTTCTTTTTGAATATTCTTCTTTAATTGACACAAAGGCTACAATGAGAGATTTTAGAGAACATCGGCACTCAAGACTGTAACGCAAACAGTGCGAACCACAAACCAGACTTTAGTTTCTTATGGTAAACCAAATAAATGGAGCAAACCTGCTGACAAGAGCTTTCCCCTTAAATCCATTCAAGAAGTCATTTTCAATAAAAGCAAATTCCATGTATTAGTTTTTGACATGCTACATTATTGTAGAGAAGGCTGAATGACCTAACTATTTTCTTCAAAATGGGCTGTATTTTTGTGCCATTACTACCAAAGGACCTCAAGACAGTGTAACTGGACAAAGAGTGAAACCTCTCGGATGAACTACTGTCAGCTGCAGGACCAACACATATTTGTGACACAGTGCTGTCACAAATATGAGCTTTTAATAAGATGTATTTCTTGCTCCGGACCTCAGAAAACCAATGAAGATCGAGCCTTTTCAGCTCCTGCTCAGAGCCTCTCAAACTCATCCTTTTTAAGCAAAAATTGTAATTATTGCTTCCCACTACTATATGTTAAAATTGATATTTTTCTTTTTTTTTTATTAGTCAGTTTTAAATTAGTTGAATGAGTATTCTGACAATTTTACACATGAATTTCAGTTTAATAGTCACAAGAACCATCACCTGAAGTAGGTTACCTATGTGAAAGGTGCTACATAAACGTATATATGTATGTCTGATTTTTATTATCATCAGCGTGCATGGACAGGCTCTGAGAGATACCCACAGTTGGTGCACTCAGGTTTATTTCAGGAGACCTGTGTCACTGATGCATTTCACTAAGTCAACACCCTCAAAATTCAGTGTTGTTAAAAGGCAGGGAGGACTTCACTTTGTTCCCATGTCACTTGAACAACGAGATCTTTATTTATCTTGCGGACTTCCTGAACAAATACAACTTTTGTAAATAAAACCACATCAGCTACACATACAGCTAAAACTTCATTACATGGTTGTTCTTTTTACTTGCTCCATGTTAGTATGAGAGAATTTTGGTTTGCATCAAACATACATTTTGCACAGCACAATATCAGGGGAGTGTTTACACATTGCAAATAAACAGATAAACCATATTCGAGAGCCTTGCACAACAGGTGTGAAAAAGTATAGGCAGACAGTATGTGACAGATAACTCTCTTCTGGCATTTGATCCAGTTGTGAACAAAGGTTTACATACATTTGTAAAGACCATGTATATAACAGCAATCTTGACTCCTACAACTCATCATTTTCTAAGATGGAATCATTGAAACATGTGTCTTTGAGTCTGCTGGGTCAGAAATATACACGCAGCAATGCTAATGTTTGGTTAAATGTCCCTTGGTCATTTTTGACTCAACTATGAGGTTTATGACATTGAACTATGAGGTAGCCATCCACAAACTTCTGGTTGTATCTGCAACCATTCCTCTTGACAGAATTGGTGACACAAACTTGTTTCGTCATCACAGTCCACAGATTCTCAATGTCAGGACTTTGGGGAGGCTTGTCCAAAGCCTGAATTCTAGCATGATTTAGTCATTTCTTTACCACTTGGATCATTGACATGTACAGTCTATGCTTTGGATGGGTATTTGGGGTCATTGTCTTCTTTGAATACCCAGCTGCATCCAAGACCCAACCTTCTGGCTGATGATTTTAGATTTTCCTGAAGAACGTGGAGGTAATCTTCCTTCATTATTCCATTCATTATTAACAGTACATATCTTGACTGTGGAAACTGAAACCTGTGTTCCAGCAGCTTGCTTTTTTGCTTTTTTGGTAACGCTTGGCTGGCTCTTAACCATCCTGACCAATTGTCTCTCAGCAGCAGGTGATCACTTGTATCTTCTTCCTGATCATGGCCATTGCCACTGGTAGGTACCATGCACGTTATATTTACAGATGCCTCTAAAATTGAGGATGGATGCTATAATGTGATAAATCTTATTTTTGGTTCAAAGTGATCTTGTTTTTTGATGATTGAGGGACTGACAAAAGGTTGAAAATCCAACTATTACTCTATTTTTACAGTTTCTGAGTCTCATTAATCGTGGCGCTTTTAAAAAATAATATGCGTGTCAAAGCTGCCAGTGCGTCTGAGCGTTCAGACTGTCTTAATGGTTCCTTTAAAACATTATTACAACTTGTAGGTAATGTCAGCCAATGTTGTGGGAACATTCCCTGTTTGCTGGATTGGCCGAACGGAGACAGTCCTGAGCCACAGCCACAGCAGCACACAGCCGTACCGAAGGAGCACCGTGTCTGTCGATGACGCTGCGAGGAGGAAGTGACAGACGGTCAGTCCATTGGTCCGTCCAGCTTTCGCGTCAACTCAGCATCAGCTGACCGCCTCAGCCTACACAGGAAGAGCGCTAGCTAATCCAACATGGCTGCTGTCTGCTAATGTAGGCGGAATTGTCTTCAGCAATGAAATAGACTTTGTTTAACTGTTGATAGTTGACTTAGTTCAGTGTGTTAGCTGGTTTTGATGCTGTTCCGACATGGCCCAATGTGTTCAGTCGGTGCAAGAGTTTGTTCAGGACTCGTTTGTCCCGATGGTGGCCGTCTTATGCAGCGAAGAAGCAGAGAGAGTAACTCGCAAGAACAACCTGAATTTTGCTGAGCTGCTGAGGCCTTTCTGCAGACTAACGTCCGAAGGTAGGAGAAACCATTTAGCACCCACATCATCCTCGACTGTCACTTTCATAGCTGTCACAAGCTTTGAGCTTCGGTGAGGTAGCTAGCATCGTTAGCCTAAAATGGAATTCAGTTGAGATTAGCTGTATGCTAGCAGACGGTTCGTGCTAGATTGGATCAGCTCTGGTGTCTGATAGCCCGAACGACCAATCCCCAACCTGCTATCACCTGATCTACCAATGACAGCCGAGTGACCCTCCCACTGCGTCCCTCCGCTTGATACAATCTAGCATCGGCCCGAGCAAACTGGATTGTGACTAAGCAGCTGTACCTTAACAAGGACGGGAGATGAAGTCCTAGCTTGACATCTGAGAGGGCCAAGTGACACCTGACCAATACGCCTCTGAAAGCTTGTCTGTAGGATAACTTTTCAGACAGCCAGTGAATAGTTCTGTTGGTGTTGGATTTTCAGACAATTGCTGAAGTAGTTAACAAGACAATTCGCTAATAGTTTTTTTTGCAGTCCACCCATTAACTTACTTAATTTACCTGTGTGTAGCAAGGAAAACCCTGCCAGCTGAGAGATGCAAGCTGTCAGCTACAACTGTCCATGTAACAGACTGGTTGAGGCGAGCTACGCAAATGGCAAGCCGTTTTTACATTTAATGGAAGCCCACTCCAGTAATTATATTATATGGCTTCCATATTTGCATTTCTCATTGTCAGATTATATTCTTAGGTAACTAATGGTAACTGAACATATGTACTATCACATTCTTCTTAGTAGAAAGGGTATTTCAAGGAAATTACATTTTTTTTAAGTTATTGTTTTGGCCTTTGTTATATAGGACAGTTGAGAGAGAGAGACAGGAAAGTGGGGGAGAAGAACGGGGAAGGAACTGCAGCAAAGGGCCATGAGCGGGATTCGAACCCATGGCTGCTGCGTCAGGGACTGTAGTCCCTGGATATGGGTCGCCTGCTCAACCAGATGAGCTATAGCGGCAGCCCAAGAAATTTACAATTTTGATTGTACTTGTGAAAACTAAAGGTTTGATATCTAAAAATCTGTAAGAAGTTTCAGTGGCCTTTCAGCATTTCATAGATGAGTAGATATGTATTGCAGAGGTGCGTAAATCAGTTTTTTTCTAGTCAATATAAGCATTTCCGATAACTACGGTGACAGTCTGACTATCCACAATTGTTGTTTCAGTACCAGACATCCACAGTGTACTGCAGTGAGGATCAAGTGGTCTATAGATAATGGTTGGATGAACAGTGTCATTCTTGAGTTACAAATGATGCACCTTCTGACATTTTCATGTGTAGTGGGCTTTCAGTTTTAGATATCCACGACTGCATTTTTGATATTGAGAATATTGTGAATATCCGTGATGAAATTTTTATTAGGAGAAAATTGAGATATCTAGCATAAAAATAAATTCAGGTCTTTGTAATGTAGTTCTGGATATCCAAAAATACATTGCAACTAGTAAGAAACATATTTTAGATATCCATGTTTAGCTATAAACAAACGTGTTGTAGATATTTGTTGACAGGTAGAGCAAACTGTTTTATATAATGTTAAAACAAAAAAAAGACAAAGAAATCCCCACTTGCCAACATGGGCAGTCTTATGTCCTTCAAGGTTCAAGCTTGTGTGTGTGTATATATATATATATGGGACTATACACCTGCACACATTGCAGGTAGATGGGGAGATGATATGTTGTGCAGCCCTCGTTATGTGAGTCGTAAGTGCTCTTCTTGCCACAAAGGGGTTCATGCCCCACGAGGGGGAGGAGTAACAACCCCCAATTGAAACTGAAACTCAGGTGTTAATGACTCCTTAGGATATAAGTATCTGGAACTCCCAACTAGTCAGTCAGAACTGATGAAGCCTCTAGGATTTGAGGTGAAACGTCTTCAAGGAACTCAAGCAAGTCCAGTTGCTATGATTAATCTACAAGAATAACCATGACCTGGATGACTGAGAATCTTCACAGACATTTAATCTGTGATGACCTTGATTACATGGTGGTCGGGGGAAACATCCATCCATCTATCATCCATGCATCCATTTTTTTATAAACTGATTTATTCGCTGGTGGTGTGCTGGAGCCTAACCCAGCTGACTTCCGGTGAGGCAGAGTACCCCCTGGAGAGATCAGTGGGAAACCTACCTTCAGAAATAAGTAAAAAAATGAGAAGTCAGATTGTTATGAAGCAAAGAGGAGACTGAAAGTTTCAAAGGGGGAAGTACATGGATGTCTATTACCTTTTGTGGAAACTGGATCAGTTGTATTCAGAGCAGGATCAGGCAGACCAAAAGTGAGCACACCATCATGAGTTTAATACATCAAGCTTTGTGCCCGGATACATAGTAAAGCAGTTTCATCACTAAATTTGCTAAATTGTGAACACATGACTCTAATCAGCAAAAGTCCTGTCAAAACAAAGCCCTAGTCATGTCCCTTAAGACGAGTAGGATCTCTATGACAGTCCTTAGGAGGAGAAACGAGGACAAACATGGGGTGGGTGAAGACAAAGCAGCTTTTCATTGTGGATGATGGGATTAAAAAAGTCCTCTTTCCTGAGGAATACCAGTTAGAGGTTAGTGGCAGTAAAGAAGGGAATGTAAGAAGACCAGCGGCAGAGAAAATGATACCACAGTGGATCCAAATTACAGTGATGAGAAAAGAAAAGAAGAACGGAAGTACGATCCGCACACCAAACAAGCGCCCTTTTACAATTTATTGGCGTGACGTTTCGAACAAAATGCTCTTCCTCAGACTGCTAAACATTAGACTGAGGCCGCCATCTTAAGTACCCATAGTGCACAGCATTCATCACGTGGTACATTGGCAGATAAACAGCACTTCATAATGTATGCACTCATGTATATAAAAATATTTTTTACAAAAAGTGAGTGAATAAACATATGTGAGAAAAAACTATATGTGAGGAAAAAAAAAAATTATTACATTACGAAGTACTGTTTACCTGCCAATGTACCACGTGATGAATGCTGTGCACTATGGGTACTTAAGATGGCCGCCTCAGTCTAATGTTTAGCAGTCTGAGGAAGGGCATTTTGCTCGAAACGTCACGCCAATAAAATGTAAAAGCGAGCTTGTTTGGTGTGCGGATCCTTCTTCTGTTCTTCTTTTCTTTTCTCATCTTTGACATTTTGTGATCCAGCGCCCAACCCAGTGAGCCTCGGGGATGTGCGTGTCTTTCCTTCATCAGACTTTTCCAAATTACGGTGAACCATGATGCTGTGAATATTCAATTTAATTACATTTTGTGACTGTTTTCTGAGACTATATGAGTGCAATGCAGTGACTTACTGCTGCAGATAATGGACTGAACAAAGTGTTATTTTCTCCAGGTCACATCCGGGATCCCAACAACCAGGTGCAGGTTGTGAAAAATCTGCGTATCTGTGTCAACAATGTGGTGACAAGCGAAGGCACAGCATCTGCTGCCCTCAGCCCTGCCCAGCGCAGACTGCTCAATGAGGTGGTGTTATCCTGCCAGCCACAAGAGGGTGCTGTGACCAATGTGATGACAACAGGCGATTATGAACTCAACTTCACTGGTAAGGACTAGAGCTCACATCTGAAGAATAGTCCTGTTTTGGCCCCAGTTGTCATAGTCAGAGCCTGTACGATAGGTAAAACCACTCTGAAAGCAGGCCCAACTACAAGCGTTATATAATATTGTGATTGGGCTAAAAGAAATATCACGGTTTTCTAACTCATAGCCCTTCAAGCAATTTTATGAGAAGTGGTACCATAAGCAATTTTGTCCATGTTTATTGTCTATATGTCAGACATATATATTTCAACATGTTTTTCATTTCTTTATCAAGATCTGTTTGAATTCATTATAACCTTGGTGGCCAAGAAGCATTGTGTTTGGAACCTTGGTAGCAATACTACATGGTGCCCTGGTGTCATCATGAAATCCCTGTTCAAAGTTGTGCATGAACAATTATGTGTGCAAAATGGGTTTCCCTGTTTACTGCCTCTTTATGCAATATTGATGCCCATGTTATGAACCATATGAGTGGATTTTTCTGGATATTCCAAACGATGCTGATGTCATACAGTTTGAATGTATATTTTGTAAATATTTGTGGTTAGGCAAAACGGCTTAAGCAGAGGAAGTTCTAAGAACATGGTCTGTTGGTGATAAACTTAGTTGTGGTGAATCTTGCCACGACCTGGATTACACCCAAAACTGAAACCGTAAGACCAACAGTTTACATCAAAGACACACCTTGGCATTGTTTATTATACATGTGTACAATATGATGTAAGTTGTGAACCACTATTTCATTCACAAGTGTTGAATCAAATAATGTTTCACTTGATGTTACAAGGATAAAATAAATCTAATTAGAAATGGACATGATTTCTTAGGGTAGCAATTTAATAATAATAATAAAAAAAAAGAATGTTTTTAAATTGGAAAATCATGATTTTTCTTTTAGCCTAGAAACAGTATTATATAACTCTTTCAGTTTGATTAACTAATTTTGGCTTCATAGATAAATATAACTGGGTGTCCTCTGCATAGCAAAGGAAATGTGTACAGTGTTTCTTAATAATACTGGCTAAGAGCAGCATGTACCAGGTGAATAGTAACGACCCTAACACAGAACCCTATGGAACTCCTTAACTAAGACTGGTGTGGGTGGAAGAATCATCATTAACATGAACAAACTGGAATCTATCTGATAAATTTGATTTACTGAGATCCAGCAGAACAAATATAGAGACGAGTCCACTGTCTGAGATTATGAGATTGGTGACTTTCACCAGTGTTGTTTCTGTACTATGATGCATTCGAAACACTGACTGAAACTCCTCCAGCAAACAGTTTCTTTGCAGGTGGTCACATAATTGGCTTCAACAGCTTTTTCAAGAATTTTGGAAACACAGAGGAGGGGTTGGATATAGGTCTATAAATTGACTCAAACACCTCGATCCAGAGTAGGCTTTTTAAATCGTGATTTTATTACAGCAAGCATAAAAGCCCACATAGCCTGTTAATAAAGAGAAGCTGATTAGGTCTAACAGTAAATTGCTAATAACGGAAAAAAGTCCTTGAGTAGTCTTTGTGGTCAAACAGACAGGTTGAGTTGTTTAAAAACAGCGACTATTGATGTGAGCTCCAAGAGACTCACAACAGCGTAGCAGTCCAAATACAAGTCGGATTCCACAAACACCTCAAGAGCCACTGCAACTAATGATATGTTCATCATTTTTTCTCTAATACTCAACACTTCACTTGTAAAGAAGATCATGACGTTATCACGACTGAGTTCCAAAATATTTTTTGTTCTTTTGAAATAGTGTCACGTTTTGGTAACATTTTGACCTTTGAAACAATGACACGAACAATAACACCACCTAAAGCTTAACTTCATTTTCATTTCATTGTTTTTCTTTTTTTTTTTTTTGTCAAACTGGTCCACTGGTGTATTTGTTGAATTGTGGTTTCCTTGTTTTGCTGTATACTTCCTACTGGATATTTAGAATTTAAAATATTTTTTTAGAATTCCTTTTATTGTCATTGCACATTATGCACAGAAATAATCAGTAATCCTGTCAGTGCATTATAAATATATTCAAGGTGCATAAGGTAGTAGTTAAGTTGATAGTAGGCACTCAAGTCCAAAAAGTTAGTGAGAGTGTTTGATATTTCAGTTCACTTATGGCTCTGTGGTAGAAGCTGTTATTTAGTCTGTTTGTCCCTGATTTGGTGGACCTGAAGTGTCTACTTGAGGATTTTTTACATTTATTTTTATTTTAACCTTTATTTAGCCGGGCAAAGACATGAAGAACAAGATTCTTATTTACAATGTCGGCCTGGCAGGATAGTGGGTCACACAAATCGTGTTCAGGATTGTGTTGACCCTTAAGAATGTTTGCTGCTTTACTGAAGCAGTGAGAGCTGAATAATTCCTCCAAAGACATCCAATGATCCACTGGAGGGCTCTCCTGTCCACTGCTGAGCAGCTTTGCGCCCAAGCTTTAACTTCCTGGCTGATGTCTTCAGATGTTGTTTCAATATTTCTACATAATGTTCTTTCCTCATGATGCCATCTATTGTGGGAAGTGCACCAGTCCCTCCTGCACCAAAACACCCACAACATGATGCTGCCACCCCCGTACTTCACAGTTGGGATGGTGTTCTCAGGCTTGCAAGCTTCCCCTCTTTCTTTCAAGTGTAACGATGGTCATTATGGCCAAACAGTTCAATTTTAGTTTCATCAGATCACAGGACATGTCTCTAAAATTTAAGGTCTTTGTCCCTGTGTGCATTTGTAAACCGTACTCTGACTTTTTTTATGTTGCTTTTGGAGTCATGGCTTCCTCCTCTCTGAGTAGCCTTTCAGCCCATGTTGGTACAGGACTCATTTCACTGTGGATAATGACACTCTCTTACCAGCTTCAGCAGCATCTTCACAAGGTCGTTTGCTTTTGTTCTGGGGTTGATTCGTACAATTCGCACCAAAACACGTGCATCTCTGGGATACAGAATCCGTCTCCTTCCTGAGCATTATGATGGCTGGACATTCCCATGGTGTTTATACTTGCATATAATTGTTTGAACAGATGAACCTTTGGGCATTTAGAAATTGTATACTTCAGTAAAGTTTTTTGATAAAAAACAAAAAGAAACAGAAAATGTCAGATGCTCAGACTGAATAGAAACCAGTTTTTGTCTCTTGGGGAAAACAAGGTAAAAAATAAAATTATTCCCAAAATGATCTGTTTAATTTAAATTATTATTATTTTTTTTTTTAACAATTTACAATCATACTTTCTGCTTTAACCTAAGCTTGCTATGCTTGCTGTCACAATGTGTGCAGTGAATGATTATTGGTTACTTTTTAAGAATGTACACATTCAGTTGTACCTTCAAATAAAATGGTTTTAGATAACCATGACAGACTGTTAGTTTGCTTACAACTTGTTTCACTACTTGTGTCTTCATCAGCGAGGTTTCTTTTTAGCATGTTCACGCAAAAAAAAAAAAAACAATCATTATGAGGGGTTCCTCTTGAATTTTCTTGCAAACAAATTTCTAGTTAAAATTTTAGAGGTGCACCATAACAACAACAATTGTAATCCAAATTTTCAACCCTGCTGATTATGCAAAGCTATGCAAGGCTGCCAAATTTTCGAAAGTACTCTTATTACTACCAAAGACCATTAGAAGTACCAAATGAAGGCAGAACCTAAAGTATAGGAAGAAGATTAAATATTACCGTATCTAGAAACCATGCAGCATTCTATCCTTGATCAACAGTCACTGAGAAGTTGACTAGAATAATCATAGCAAAAACGTGCATTAGTCCTGGAAGGCTGTTTTCACAGTGAGGCTCAGCTAGAACCTCATTGACAGAGGTGCAAGGCTTAGTTTTTTTCTGGCAAGAGGAACACCATCCCAACAGTCAGGTGTGAAGGTGGATTTGTCCTGAGGTCAAGATGGTTCTATACCTTTTTTTTTTTTTTTTTGAAGAATGTGATTCCCTAATTACAAAATTGTCACTAAAATGTCTTACAAGTTAGGGAGGTTGCATAATTTTGATTCCTGTATGAACTGAGTGAGTTGTTTGTCTTAGTTTTGATAATGCAGATGTTCAGTCCAGATAAATATTTAACACTGAATAGGAAAGAAGTGAAATGTGAAGAATATGAGTTTATCACAGAAGAGCTGTTCTTATACTTAAACTGAAAATGGCACAGCATTTTAAATTAGTTAAACTTGAATGAAAGCTCCTCTAACATTTGATAAACTGATTGTCAGCTGCCCATGTCAAATCTCAGTAATGCTTCTCTGAAATAGTTTTTTCCCTTGATAATCTGTAAATTCTTATTTTGAGGGAAATTGAATTTTTTTACTAACATTAGCCCTTGCTTTCTGCTTCCACCTATCAGATGACTCTCTTAAAGCTAGCCTCCCCTGGTACAGTGTCTGGAGAGAAACACTGTTAGAAATCAACACATCCAAGTACTACACAGGTATCAGTGTCTCCTAGCTTATGTATAGATAGCAGTAGACCTTCAATCATTGTCATACCTGCCCTGCTCCTCTCCCTCTACTTCCCAGTAGCTATGTAGTCTCTTTGTGGTGGGTACTTTTTGTACATATTGGGGAAAAAAAGGTAGAAGTATGGAATAACTATTTATTTTCAATTTAATGCCAGATGTATCAACACCAAATACACCATTTCCCACACAGAAACTAGCAAAAGAAGAATGCGTGTTGAAAATGTGCACACTGTACATATATTTAGGCCAGGTATGTATATACAGCCAGCTGTTAGTAAAATAAGGAGATTTAAGTCAAAGGCATATTCATCAGGTTAATTTGATTAATTGTATTGGAATTCTTAGGAGTAAAGATTGTTATGATTTTTTTTCATTTACATTTGGACCATCATATCCCTATGTAAATGTTTTAAATGCATTTTCAACTGTGAAGTTATTTGTAAAGTCTGTTTAAAAGTTGAAAGCTTTGAATATACAAATCTTCAACTTAAAGCTGTTGTGGTTCTGTACACACACACACACACACACACACAGTATATCACTGACTGATTGTTATTTTGTCTCTTATTTTGTTTTTGTAGCAACCACCCCCTGGTTTGAAGCCTACAGGGAGAACTTCTTGCAGTCAATGCCTCCTGCTGACCATGAGTTCCTCAATCACTACCTTGCCTGTATCCTTCTGAAAGCCCACAAATCTGGCTACAGGTTGACATGAAGTTTGCATACTGTGGTCAGATTTAGCGGCGCTCTAGTTTAGTAGTGTGATATGATCCATGAGTCAGATTTTGTGAAAATACAACAAATAGTGTGTGCGATTCACTATATAAGCAGAACCTGTGCTGTTTTTTCTTGTGTGAAGTTTTAGCCAGGTCTGAAAAACCCAGTCAGGGAAAGGTGAGGGAAAATTTAAAGAGGTTTTAGGACAGTGGAGTTGTGAATATGAGCACCTCCTGCTCCTGCTTCTTATGCGTTGCCTTTTCTGCTTCTACTTCTTCTTTCTTTTCCGTTTCTTGTTTTTATTTATAGCAATAGTAGAGGTTTTCCACTCCTTTAAGTCTATGAGCGCGAACCCTTCTCTGATGGATCCACATAGTTTATAGTTGCATCCTTGACATTGCATTTCTGACAGGCCTGCTGGTGGTGTCGTCCACTGAGGCAGTCCCTGTGGAGCAGTTCCTCAAGCTTTCCCAGGAGCAGCACAGAATTCAGCACAGTGGAGAATACACTAACCCCAAGTGGTTCATCCCAAACACACTGAAGTACTATGTCTTACTGCATGATGCAAGCGAGGGAGATGAACAGAGGTACTGAAAGAAGCTTAACTGTGTCCAGTTGCTCTTGAAATTAACTGCCCTTTATCTGCAAGACTTTGTCATTATGTGAATAACATTTATTCAAAACATACCAACTAACTCTTTGTAAACAGCAAACATTTAATAATGCATGTATCTGATTCCTCTTAGAGCCTTTGTCACAAGTTTTTGTCTGCTGCAGAGCCAATAATGTCAAGTATTAACAAATGGAACTATTAAACATGTTGTGTTTTTAGTTAGGTTCTAGTCAGATTCAGCAGTTTTATGTTTATTCAGTGCCCCCCCTCCTTTGTCTCCAGGGCAGATACAGTTTATGAGGATATGAAACAGAGGTATGGTCCTCAGGGCTGCTATCTGTTGAAAATGAACTCCCGTACCTTCTCAGCTGAAAAGGATGAACAGATTCCCGACCCTTGGAGTCAATACCTGCACAAGAATAATCTGCGTAACCAGGTAAGCACTGTAGCTGATTTAGTGCAAAGGCAGGGCACATTCTGGACAGGTCACCAGTCGCAGGGCAACACAGAGACAGACAACCAGGCCACTCACGTTCACGCCTACGGACAATTTAGAATGATTAACTTCAGCATGTTTTTGGACTGTGGGAGGAAGCTGGAGAACCCGCGAGAACCGACACAGGCACCGGGAAAACATGCAAACTCCACACAGAAAGACCCCAGGCCGGGATGCGAACCCAGGGCCTTCTAGCTGTGAGGCGACAATACTAACCACCACAGAACCGTACTGCCCTTTGTTTAAGATGTTTAGTTATAATTATTGGCAAGAAATGCTGTAAGAACTTAGACAAAAGCGGAACATAATTCTTTTCCCCCAAAGCCTTAACATACAATTGTGTTTTCAGCTGGAAGCTAAAATGTGTTAAATTTAGCTTGGTCACAGAAGAACACATTCTTCAGCCTGATGATTGTCACTGCCATATTTGTGCCTTATGTTAACACAGTTATTCTAATTGCAGGATATGTTTGATGATCTAGCTCCTACTGTGAATAGTGCTGCTCTTGAGAACAGTATCAGTGCAGCTGATGTGGACTGCAATTACTCCACAGAGAAAGGTCAGTCAGTTCAAATGGTCCAACTTTTATAAACCCCTGAGATGGATGGATGCTCTGTTGTTGTTCATAGGTTATTCCTCACAGCTTCTCATTGTTAGAAGGTTTGTTACTCAACCTTTCACTTTAAAATACTTAAAAGCTGTGTGTTTGCTGCTACAGATGGGTATTATTAAGGTTTCATGGTACAACTACTCTCACTGATTCTGCCAATTAATCCTGTACATTGATGGCACACTTATCAGTGCTATTTGTTCCTTTTATTTCTATTTTTTAAAGAAAAATGAAACTGAATTCATCATTGACTACTCACCTGAACAGTTCTTGATGTTGTGCATGGTTTCATTTTCATCCTTAACCATTAAAACATATAGACAGACACCACCTTTTGTGTGTTATAATTTTTGGTTCAGGAGATATGATACAAAATGCAGAATTTGGTTATGGTGTTAAGTTAAATGGCCTCATGTGTTTTTGTGATGGTTCTGTTTTCTATTTGTTACTTGTTAATGCAATTCCTTACTATATAGAGCCATGCTGCATTAGATACAGCCCATACTGACACTAAGGAAGCTGTGGTGTTTGCTGGTTCCTATGCAACCTTGTGCATGCAAGTAGCCGTATTTTTCAATTACATTCTTTATTCACTTAAGTTGCTGTGGTCACAGGTACACTCACTCTTGTTGTATTCAGGTTTTGCTTTGAGACCAATATCAAAAACCCTACATTTCAACTTAAAATAATAAAATTATAGTAAGATGATACAATTCTGAATTATTTAACATACTAGTAATATTGCACAGTGGTGTACTCAGTTTTGTTGTATTTTGTATACAGTGCTGTGAGTGAGCTTAGAATTTGCACTATTTCCTATCAGATGGAGTTTCCAGTAGCCTGGAAAACCATGCCCTCCAACTGGACACTGCTAACAGCTCGGGGATTCTGCACACCCTCAGTGCTGTCAACACTGATCTGAAGAAAGGTGCTCGAGATCCAGACACCCTGGTGGGGGGAGCAGGGAGCCACGGGGCATGTCTGACTCTTAATGACCATGACCACATCAGACAGTTTATCCAAGAATTCACCTTCAGAGGCCTGCTGCCACACATAGAGAAAAACATCAGACAGCTGAATGACCAGGTACAACCCCAAATCTTGACCCCCAACATATTTTACCCATGTTTGATTCAGACAAGTGAGAATTATGAATCAAGAATCAAATGCTTCCAAAAGTGACCCACAGACATAGACAACAGATAAAATAACTAAAAAATTATACAGGAAAATAACAAGTAAAAATCTGGCTTCAACTAAATGAAAATCATGACTAAATAGTCAAAGATGACACATTGATTCAACACTGAAGTAATTTTGAAGAATGTAGTTTGTGGTGCATTGTACAGAGAGGTGTTTTTGGTATTTGGCCCACTGTCATTTGTATAATTGGGTGAACAAAATAATATAAATACCTCTCAGTATAATGCAATACAGCAATACGCAGTCAACTGCAGCTTCAGTTGCACACACTAAAAATTGTAACTTTCACGACTGTTTAATTTGTAGCAGGACTTTTGTATTAGTCTGCATTAGTAAGCTATGCGTACCTAATACATTGGCAACCATTATAATTGTACAGTTCTAGTAAATTTTAAAATAGTATATTACCTTATTCAGCTCCCAAAAATTTAACCTAAAAATGATGTCAAGGAGATAATTATAATCAGTAACTTATGAGAGCAATTCTTTTTGTTCCACAGTCAACACTGCTGAACTGGTGCTGTTTTGCTTGACACCCTTTAACATCCTCCAAGCACCTAGACACATGTTGTGATTCTCTGTTCACAGCTGGTGTCCAGGAAAGGTCTGAGTCGATCTCTGTTTACTGCGACCAAAAAGTGGTTTGGCGGTGGAAAAGTTCCAGAGAAGAACATTAGTGAGCCAAAGAGTACATGTGGCCTTCTGTAAGTGCCCCTGCACCACGCACACCCATCAGGCTGCATATGAAGCATCAACAAGGCTCCCATACATAAACTCTGTGCATCAAAATACACATTGTGCACAGTGCTGGTCTGACCTTTTCTGTCTGTGATGTCAGGTATCCACCAGAAGCCCCTGAGCTGCAGATCAGGAAGATGGCTGACCTGTGTTTCCTGGTTCAGCACTATGAACTGGCCTACAGCTGCTACCACACTGCCAAGAAGGACTTTCTGTCAGACCAGGCCATGCTGTATGCTGCAGGGGCACTGGTGAGAGCACACACCCTTGCAGACACCATTCTCTCTGTTCTGATTAAGGTCATGAGGTAAATAGCATTAATTCCACAACCCAGATCACCGCATTGAGCAAGGGTAGTCTGCTGAATGTCTCTCAGGAAGTTCAAATTCAGATGGAATTTGTTACCATGTTCTGTTGGAGTTCAAAATTCAGCACAAACATGAAGCAGCATGGTTTGCAGTTAGCTGTCAGACAGAAGTGAATGGTACATTTCTGGATAGACTATTAACTTACAGTATGATTAGTACATTCATTACCATTTCACTAAGCTTCCAGCACCACGAATTTGGATGAGCCTCTTTCAGATTTGAATATGAACTTCTGCATTACCTTGTCATCACTTGCAGCACAACAGAAACAGCTGCCAGTGTCATTGTCTACCTTTGATCTATGCAGTATTAGTGTACTTAAAGGCTTTTTAACTGCTCACAGCACAACGCACGGTCGATATAGCTACATGTTCAAGTCAGATGAAAATCATCACAAAAAAGGTTTTCTGCATCAAGTTTGAGTGTTAACTGTCGCCATTTGTTGGTCATTAAAAATGAAGATGTTTTGCATGTATCACTGGGGAATGCACTCTCAGTGGTCATGGCTGTAGTGTAACATTAGAACAATAACTTAGTAAGAGTCATTACATCAATAAGCAGACTCAGTCATGTCAATTTATATTAAAAAGGCTACTAGTCATATGAGACCATGTAAGGCTGAAGGCTGTAACAGTAAAAACTATGTCTGGACTGAAATGAGCAGTGGTGTGTTCTTGCTTATTAGTTCATGTTTATCAAATCAACTTTTAAGTTGTAAGACAAAGAATGTGTTCTTTTTTTTTTCAAAAGTCATATAATGTGACTTTACCTCCTACTCATGATAATGACATGTGTTATCCTCAGCCTCTGTTCTCTCCCCTTCATTTTTCTATTACAAATCTCTTCACATCCCATCCATTCATCCTCATATCCTCTTTAGGAAATGGCTGCAGTGTCAGCTTTTCTGCAAGGTGGAGCCCCCAGACCTTATCCAGCACACTACATGGACACGGCAATACAGACCTACAAGGATGTGTGCAAGTATGACAAATGCCTAATTAATGACATCATCTCATTCTGTTAGCTGTTTCAATTTTGGGACACTTTTTGCAGGGCAATTACTTTGTTATTGCAGGCTCTCAGGACAACCTAACCCCTTATTATCGTCTAAGGAGCTTGCTAGTGTAAACATTTCTTGTTTTTTTGGCTAACAGAGGATGTTTGGTATTGTCTACAGTTTGTATTCAGTGCTAATTACTATGAGGCAATGCCTTTACACTTTAGTTGTCAACTATGGTCATTCTTGCACGTACTATATACTGGCCCCTCACCTGACACAAGTGGGACCTTCAGAGTTTAGTTTGACACAAAATTGCTCTAAATTCTCATGAACTATACAAACTGCAATCTAAATAGGATGTAGGGCTGGTCCAAATAGCAATTTCTGATATCCAGAACGTGTATGGGACCGATCGAGGTTACTTTGCTGCTAATGCTAGTTTATGCTAGTCTTATTACCCTGGCAGCCTGCATAGCTGTATATATGATATAATAAGTAAATCTGAACATTCTTATTTAGTTTGACTTGTTGCAGCATTCCATCATTTTTTGTCTCTGACATCATCTGTGTCCTGTACAGGAACATGGTGCTGGCTGAACGTTGTGCTCTACTTAGCGCTGAGATACTCAAGAGTCAGGGAAAATACTCAGAAGCTGCAACACTTCTGATAAAGATGACCAGCGAGGTGAGGAAACCTGCATCATTTTCAGTCCTGCTGTGTGTCTGAAAATATATTGTGTGCTGCATACTTAACATGTATTAAGTGGCTCTGCAGTGGATTCATTCAGACTGGAATTTCTTTCATTTTTTTGTCCAGGACTCTGACCTGCGCAGTGCTCTGTTGTTGGAACAGGCAGCACATTGCTTCATTAATATGCGTAACCCTATGGTGCGCAAGTTTGCATTCCATATGATTCTGGCTGGTCACCGTTTCAGCAAAGCAGGACAAGTAAGTCTTTCAGCCACGAATGATCTTTGCGGTCTAACCTAACACTTGTGCTCCCATTAGAGCTGCAATGACATCTTGATTAGTTGTCCACTATTAAGTTAATACCTTACCATAATAAATATATATTTTTTAACTATTTCAGACCAACTATTTTGACAACAGATTAATTGACTTGAGTCATATTTTTTAAGGATAAAAATAAGCCTTTTTTGATTCTATCCACTTAAATTTGAGTATCTTCTGGTTTTCTTCTACCTCCAAATTAGTAAATTGAATATCTTTGAGTTGTCGACAAAACATGTTTTAAAATGTTCTGTCTGACGGTGGGAAACACAATTTTCTGACCAAAGAGACTGAACAACTAATTTATTAATTGAGAAAATAATCAACAGATTAATTGAAAATGAAAATAATCATTGCTTATGTTTTGATTGATGCGTCTTTTGACTGCAGCATTGACCTTACACTACGTTTTACATTACACATCATTTTATACCCTGTAAAATATTATATACATTATCCTTTGTTGAAGTCCATAAACATTTTCTGGGTTAATCTAAACAAAGACAAGAATTGTTAGAGTTTAGTTATTAGTTACAGAACCAAAATTAATCATTATCTTTCTGAGTTCTTGCTTACCATACTCACCATGCTTTCCAGGAGTGAAAAAGGGGAAACACTGTGGATGTATTAATGAAAACTGGATTACAAGATGGCACCTCATTCATTTAAATGAAAGTTGCTTAGTGGTCCATAAGCTTCCTCCATGAGCCACCACAAGAGTGCAGAATGCAGTCTTTGGCCCATAGAGCTTTGGCATCGTCCATGTCAGTTGATACTCCCAAGAACATGCACGACTGAACCGAATGACTTTGTGATAGCTTGCTGGAAACTTTAAATAGGATAAAATAAATGAATCATAGGGCTTCTGCCAACTTTTTAATGTTTTAGGATAGAATGGATCAAATTCTGTTGGCAAAAACTGTAATTTTAATAAATTTGCAATGCTCAGAAAATGCTTGTTTCAGTGATTGTGTGTTGGAAAAAATACTTTTTGGACAACCTGATAAATGTAGACCTTGTAAGTACACAGATTGACAACTATTTTAAAATTTCCAGACAGCCCAGCACGGTTTTTCTCTCTGATTTCAATAGTGACATCATTTGAGAAAACCAAGAATGTGAGGGGCTGGTTGTAGATTTAGTAACAATGACAGTGATTTGATCAGGATCAGGAAGAAGGACTTTGCTGCCCCTACTGCCGCATAGAGTCTTATCTTAGGATCTCTTAAAACCTTCTGACATGTCCTCTGAGGAGATGCCAGAATTGGGAGGCTTGAGGGAAGGCTTGAACATTTTCCAGGAAGAAGTGAGCAAGGAGGTTAAAAAGCTTTGTGGTAGCAAGGTGTCATGGGTGGATTAAAGTGAACATTGTAGTGCCATCTTGGTCGACACGTCTTTTCAGTGTTGCATAAAGGTTAGGGAGATTGGCCAGAGATGTGCGGATTGGGAGGATTGTCCCCATTTTTAAAGAGTGGAACTGTGTAGTGTTTCTCAACTATCAGGGATCAGACTGCTCAGGCGCTCAAGAAAAGACAATCCTGGAAAGAACACTCTGATTGTCTAACCTCAGTTTTAAAAGGAGCAATGCAGATTCCATCCAGGCCATACTTGAAGGGTCATGGGAATATGCCTTTCCCAGTGTGTGTTTTGTAGACCTAGAGAATGCTAATGACTGCGTTCCTCCTCCTCGTTTGTCTGCAGGAGTATGGGGTGCGAGGTTGTTGCTGCATGCCGTCCACTACTTGTATAACTAAAGCAGGAGCTATGTCTGTAGACTTGGCAGTAAATCAAGTATGTTCCCTGTACATGTCTGACTCTGCAAAGGCTGTGCCTCATTTCCGATTCTGTTGGTTTTCAAGGACCAGATCTTAAGGCAAAACCAAAGGCTGGTAGATTATGTTCTTGGGAATGCATTCCTGCTTTTCAGAGAGAATGTGGTCCAGCTCACTTCATTGTGCTATGACCCTCAGTGTGAACAGAAAAGGTTTGCAGCAAAGTGTCAAGCAGCTGTAATAAGGAGTGGAGGATAACCAGATCTAATTGGGTATGAATTGGGACACCTCAGCTATTTTGCTTAGACTGCGACCTCTGGGACTGGATTCCAAACAAGCTGCAGTGGATGATGAGATGAAATAATGAGGTGTTCTGAGTGGAGTACTTCTTAGTTAAATAAACTTTTTAGTTGTTTTTTCTTTTCACTTTTTGTGGTGACATTCCTACAGTCTGCGTTCTGACACCATCTAAGTCACTCTGGTCAGGATTTCCCACACTGATCAATTTTACTTTTAGCGTCAGAGAAAATGCCATAATGTGAGAGGAATGCTGGAGTTTTGAAGGCACATGATCAAAACTTACTCAGGACAAACTTCTGTTAGCTTTAAGTTTGTTCGTTGTCTTATGCCTCATAACCTCTTCTTCTTCCTTTTGTTTCTCACCACCTCTACTCTTTCTTGATGTAGAGACGGCACGCACTGCGGTGTTACTGCCAAGCCATGCAGGTGTACAAGGAGAGGGGCTGGTCTTTGGCGGAGGATCATATCAACTTTACAATTGGTCGTCAGTCCTTCACACTTTGTCAACCGGAGAACGCCGTCACAGCTTTTAGACAGATCCTGATCAATGACAGCAGACAGACAGCCACACAGCAGGGCGCCTTTCTCAGAGAGTACCTCTATGTTTACAAGGTAACTTCAAAAGCTTGTCTTCTATTTTAGATTGTGCTTTTTATATCTCAGTTATTCATAGATGTGACCAAAACTAATTCTTCATGAAAAGACTTTTTGGATATATTTCAAGCAGATTTTTTTTCTTTACTTAGTAACACAGATGTCTTCAATCTTAAAATCTGCCATTTAGTGTAATTAAATAGAATATAGTACTCATTAAGCAGTTTTTTTCATTGAATGCATTATACTGAACAATGAAAAGAGGAAGCTAACCTCCAACATCAAGATACAAGGTTCATACCATATGTCACTTTCTGCATGAAACAGGGCTACATGGGAAAAGACGCAGGGACGTCCCACTTTTTAAAGAGAAACAGTTCTGGGAGGATGTCCTCTGAGCAGTTCAACAAAATTAGACATCAGTGTTATATTCACAGAAAAAAAAAGAACTTTCAAAAAAAATTGTTCCCACTGTGGAACAATAGAAGACTCAGTTTTGTAATGTGGTTACTTTGCTGTCTTGCACAGCTTTTAGATTTTTAATGCAATGTGTTGCAAATTGGCTATTTCAGGCAGCTAATCTGTGTGTTTACTTTTGTCAGATTCGAAAAAAATAAACATTTAAAATGATTCATAGAATAATCATCTTTTTTTAACAAAGCTTTAATGAGCTCTAGTTTTTTTGCACTGATACATCCTGTTTACTGTGTGACTGCTCCCTTCCATTTAGCTGTATGACAGAAGTAACTGTATGAGTATGCAAAGAAAAAACCATCGTTAAAGTTTTTGCACACTGGTTTCATGAACATGACAATGAGCTGAGTGCATTTTTTATGACAGATGTCAAGTCATTTTATAAGGATAACATAATAAAAAAAAACCTTAAAGAACAACAACACATTTTATATTGATCATTGTAGCACAATGAATAGACACATTTGAAATGGATTTAAATGCCAATAAAACTATGTTGGCACACAAATGACATGAAGTTTTGTTTTTGTGTTTTTAGAGTGTGATAGGGGCAAGTGAAGTTGACCTCCCCCAGCTGCCCCTGCCTTGTATCCATAGCTCAGCCACAAGAGTTTACTTTGGACATGAACGCCGCCTTGCAGAAGGTAACACACTGATTAATAATTTGTCATATCCTCCGAGCTTGACTACATCTGAAAAAGAGAGAATATCAGAAAATTTTTTTTTTCTGTGATGTGACTTGCAAATACGCAGCATAATTCTCTGTCCAGTCATGCTTAAACATAATATCAGTCCACTCAAACAGTAAGACTTTATTTGTATGGTACTTTTTGTATCAATAGAATGTAACAAACACACTTAAATGGCTCTGTAACCCTTCCCAGACTGATAATTATCAGTGACTTTGTTATGCATCTGTTTTTGAATCTCTTTAGAACGGGGCATCATGTGCTGCTTTTTGAGACCCTTTAACCTACTCCACAATGCCAGGTTCTCTTTAAGTAATGTTTAGATTCAACAAGCCTGGCAGTAATCATACGTGGCTGGTGAAATTGAACCCAGTGGTCAAATAAATTTGATCATTTGGTGGATTGGTAGCTAAGGAGGGAATTACTTTTTCACGTAGAGCAAGCTATGGCTTACTTGTTCACAGCACTGTAGTACACATAGTTGAGGGCTTCATAGAGCCACGCATTGTAGGGGCAGCAATGCCAAGTTACATCAAAGCCATTTTAAGGCAGGAAGGGTTGACTTTCGTGGAAAATCTTTTCAATAGGTAATATGAATACATGGAGATGAGTTTTTAAGGGTTTAATCACTGACCGGGAGGGACTTTATTTGTCTGTTATATGTAGGGGAAAAGCAGGCAGCCACTCATGTGTCCTTGGACCAAGAGTATGACCAGGATTTGTCAGCCATGTGGTGCCATCTCGAGGAACAGCTTGTAGCTTCTACCAACCGTGGGATAGTTCCAGCAAACTTCCAGCCCACCCAGTGCTGCCTGAACAACCAGACAGACAACCTCCGTCACCCACTGGCTGTGGTTGAAGGTAACATGTCCTCAGCAGACACAATGGAACAGTGTTTAAATTCTTATCTGGACTTAGTACTAGTCTGCATTGAAGTACGATTTATATTTTCCTACACACAGTTTTGTCAGCCAATCAGGAATTACTAGTTTGTGTTGACATATTATAAAGAATTACAACATAAGTCATCTCATCGCTAATTAATCAGTAATGAATTGTATCTGCTCAGTACACAGTCTTCTCTATGTTGCCATCTCCACAGAGCCAATCATAGTGGAGGTAACTTTCAGGAACCCTTTGAAGGTTTCGCTGGCTCTGTCAAACCTCTCACTCCTCTGGAGATTTAGTGCTGATGGTACATCTTCATCAAAGGAGACAAGGACTGAAGAGTTAACTGAAGAGACCATTACCAATGAGGAGACCACAGCTGTAGGGGTGGGCAAGGTGGGTAAAATTCTTTCTAGTGATTGAGATTTTAATGCAGTTTGATGCCTAAAGGCAATACCTCAGATTGTTATTGTCTGTTCAATATCTGCGTCTGCCTGCAGATGACACCAACCGATGACTTTGTCACCACTGAGATCATCCAGGAATTTCATATGGGTCCAGAGGAGACTAAAGTGGTAAGTTGGTCTCTGAAGGTACATTGTGGAGAATTGGACCACAAGTGATGTTGACCTTGAGATACCAGCAGAACCCAAAAACAGCAATGCAAGTGTGTAGTAGAATAAAGAGTATTTGCATTATGTGTCAGACTTACAGATTTGTTAGTACTGATAGAGTAGGGCTCATCATCCTTATGACGTCTCTAACTGCCAGAAAAATAGGCTTTAAGCTTCTTATAAGTTGCTAGCTAAGCCTATATGTTGGATAGCCTTTACGCTGTTCCATGACACTGTCTGGTTATGTCTGAAAATTTTTGACTTTGCAAAATAAAGACATGCTAGATATTTACACGCACATGAGAAAGTAGGTTGCTCAGTGCAATCATCATTTCTAGGAAATTGGACAATGTTCTAAAACTTTATGTAGTGGAATTTGCATGCAGCAGTAATGAATGAATGAATGATGGCAATAAGCACAGCTGAGCTTACTGAATTTGCTTGTAGTGAAACAATGTCGTGCCTCCCTTTTGTTCACTGGATGCCAGCACCCTGTGAGGACCTGCTGTGTTGTCACAACACAGGCTGTATGCATTTTAATAAATAAGTCTCCAGTGCTCATAAAGCTGTTCAGAATGGCATAGTGTAGGAAGAGCATTACAATGTCTACAATTTTAAAAGTACTTTAAAGCTTCACCAAAAAGTAGTATGGCCTGTACCTTCTTTGGCACATAAGATTCTTCAGATTGTGCTGTTAACAGTCAATCACTTTGATCTCAGGCACGGCTCAGGCTTCTGCCACACAGAACTGGTCAGCTGAACATTGTGGGTGTTGTATACAACCTGGCTGCAGCCTCTGCTGGCGACATGGCTCTTAGTACTGAAGGTAAATGTATCCAGATTTTTTTTTTTTAGTTCATATTTGCTTTAAGTACTGTTGGTTGCTGTAGTGTCAGTTTACACATACAGATAGACATTGCTTTCTAACTTTCACTGAATTGTACTACATTTTCTGTTCATCTTTTAGGCAAAAAAATTATGAAGCAAACTATAAATATACCAATGACATTCAAGATTTTTTGTGTTGTACTGCCTGAGGCACAGTGTGGATTTCCTTCTATCTAAAGGTCATCAGACATTGGATTTGATGGTGGTTCGTGGCAGACAAGATCTGAAGATTTTAGGCCCACGACTTAACCTGACCAAAGAGGACAAGATGTTGGTTCGGCATGGTCCAGACCGACGTCTGGATCCCATCATAACACCACCTATGCCCCTGATGGAGGTAGCATTGACTCTATAGACACCTGTCCTATGTTCACTGTTAGCACAGTCTGGAAAAGCTAAGTCTAATACAGTTTAGTAACAAGTAAGTGAAAAAGAAATATTAAACTACACACAGTGAAGTCTAAATGAGTCTCTCTTGAGTTTATTTTTAAAGCTGTCACCAGTGACCACAAGTCCAGTGAGAGAGCAAACACTTCAAAGTGTATGCAAGTGTCCGTGTGATGCGCTTTTTGTCACATCAATGGGAGTCTGACCACTTTGCACATGTCCATGTGCCAGCCTAACATTTGTCTATAGTGTCTATGCAACAAGGGCAATAATGCACGCACAGAAGATGTCAGATTAGGGCAGTTTACCTAAAATGCAAGAGTCACATATTTTTACATTTTTTTTGTAAACATGTTGGTCATTTTTCAGATCCCATATCATTTGTAGTTCTCTTGACTGGTCACAAATTGTTCTTTTATTCCACCAAAGCGAAGTGCGAATATATATAAAAGATCATGCAGATATGCCTGTGTAACCTGTTTAACGTGTGTGTGTGTGTGTGTCTGTCTCTGTGATTCAGGTCTTCTTCCTGCAGTTTCCCACTGCTCTGCTGTGTGGTGAGATCAGAAAAGCCTACGTTGAGTTCTGTAATGTCAGTGGTGTTGCTTTGTGTGGGCTGCGAGTGGCGTCCACGCACCCTGATTTCTTCACCTTTGGCAGCCAGGCCACAACACCCCTCACACCCATCAGCCCAAACTCTGCTGAAAACTGCTCCGCCTACAAAACCTTAGCCACAGCCCTCCAGCCAGGCTCAGTAGCATCTGAGGTGTTGGTTTCAGCAGAGGATTTCAGCCAACCGTCCGGAGTGATGGAAATCCCAATTGAGGGCAGCACACTGCAACCAGGGGAGTCCACTCAGCTGCCCCTTTGGCTCAGAGGACCAGACCAAGAGGGAGTCCATGAAATCAACTTCCTGTTCTACTATGAGAGTACGGAGAAGGGACTTAAAATCAGGTAAACATTTAAAGTGAGCTGAAGGTAGGTGAACTGATCTGAAGGCATGTATCACATAACTGTAAATGTAAATAAGGGCTCTTAACATGAACGTGATGTGAAATGCTTATCCAAATAGCTTTAAATTTGACACTCCACTGCCCAGAGTCCCTAGCTATACACCTGTCAGGGAAATTGGAGTTTCCAGGAAAACAAGGCTGTTGGAATTTGATAAGGGCATTCAGTAAGATTTTGATTGACAGCTAAAGTATTATACAGAGTTATACAATATAAATATACAATACAGTAATTACTCTATTGATATAGATTGGCTGTAAGCTGAACTATATTAATGACTTTAGTGAGTGCAGCTGCTGCTGTTTATAATGTGTTGACCTTTTCCATGATCTTGTACTCTTTCGTCTCTCTTCATGTAAAGTCATCGGGTCTTACGCCACACAGTGTTTATATGTGCCAGTCGGTCTTTGAGTGTACAGGCGTCGGCCTGCCGCAGCAGTGTTCCTCCACATCACTGTCTGGATGACAAAGGCAGTGGTGGAACACTTGTCTTTATTGATGTGGAGAACATCAATACGGTGAGATAAACAGCATAGCAAAGTCCTCCAGCCCAAACTTAAAATATGCAGCATTTGGCTTTAACTGTCAAATTATCATTGCTCAAACTCTGTTTGAATTCCCTCCTCTTGGCTCTTAGAGTGAAGGTGGCGTGCGTGAGTTCCACATTGTTCAAGTGTCCAGCAGCAGTCAACATTGGCGCCTTCACAAGTATATCAACCCAGACAAGGATAAAGGTTTGTCTGGCATAATGATCATCTGTGCTTCATTTCTTTCATGGTTTAATTTCAATTTCTATATATGCTCTATTGTGTGCAGCCATTGTACCAGCTTGAGTTATGAACACAGCTGTAGTCTTCATTTAAACAGAACTCGTCAAAATGTGGAGTTACTTTCCTATCTTTAAGCAAGAGATCACTGTTGGTGCACAAATGTCCTGTGTCTCCTCATGCACACCACACCTCTTGGTCTTTGTCAATGGAACTGGCTCACATGTCATCTTTGAATTTTGGTGATGCGATAATAAGTGGTTGGATATCACAATACATATTGAAGATGGGAAACGTTCAGTCGTTCTGCTAACACACTGAAACACATCACTAAACATATATCTAAACAGATCCTACATGTGATTTTGTACAAGACAGACCTGTTAGATGTTTTCATCCACCAAAACCGTTTTCCCTTCCAGACTGTAAACTCAGCAGCAGAGAGAGAGCCAAGCTGTGTTTTAGAGCCACACGATGCAAACCTCATCAAGGTACTTAATGCAGAAACAAACTAAACACATCAGTTGGTTTTGATTAGATTTCCAATTTTGAATGATGATTTGACTGTTTCATTTGTTGTTTTTTAGCTACCTCCGATGCTGTAGAGAAATACACCTTTGCTGACCTGAGTCTGGGAAATGAACGGGTATTTAGAAAGCACACATTGATACTTGAAAAAGAAGATACTGACTGCCCCAGGGATGTGGGTTTCCGGGTTTCTGTGTCTTTAAGCATGTGTTAGCTGACCCCCCTTCTGTGGCATTGAACTTGACCAGGGTTGGACCCCTACCATTTTGGTGACCTGGTGTCTTTTATTATAGTGCCTGCATCCACATTTCAGGGAAGAGAAATAGTGTGTTTGTGGGAACGTGGACTTCTGCCTTCCACTGACCTCTTGCTCTTTGTCTTTGTGTAGATCATCAGTTCCTCTACACCCTGTGGAGATTTCTTCTTCCGCTGCTGTCAGATCACTAACTCTCAGCAAGTGGATATAGCATCATCTAAGATATCATCCATCGGCAAGAGTCAGGGCTCTGTACCCACTGAAGACAGAGGCTCTGACATCACCAATATTGCCAAGAAGTGTAATGAGCTGGACCTGAACATAATCATCATCTGGAAGGTACACATAACAAAGCCAGATGATGTATAGTTCCTTGGCTCAGTGTCAGTGTTATGTTAGATATATTCAATGACAAAATAGTATACAAATAGAGTAGAAAGCATGGCATAGGACTCAGTGATTCATAATATTTTCATTGGAACTAAAAAAAAAAACATTTTTTTTTCTGACTTAAGTAATTCACCAGCTGCACCATATATTGAGGTGAATAATTCTCTGCCCTTATGAGCTTATGCCTTTCCCTGTCCTCATTTTCAGTTTGGTCATGGTTTGGTCACCTAAATGATGCCAAGACTTTAATGGTGATTTTTCAGATGTAGCGTATGCTGATGATTTGTGAGAAATAAATTAAAATCTTGCATTAATTAAAAAAAAAAAAAATCTTCTTGAAAGTCCATCCACTCAGTGTGCAGCATCGTAGAAATTTGGCCCCTGCGACTAACTTCTTCTCACATCAGTTAGATTTGCAGTCCTCTTTTCACAGCTTAAATGTCTTAAGCAGTGACTATAGAGTTTAAGTTAAGTTTCCAGTTTGCATGTGTGTCTGCACAGGCTTATGTGGTCGAGGACAACAAACAGCTGATTCTAGAGGGCCAGCTCCATGTTGCACTGCAGACCATTGGCAAAGAGGTCACTTCTCTGACTCCGAAAGAGGTACAACAAGCACACAGACACACTCACTATCTTTCTCTTTGTAAGTCAAAGAACATGCTATCAAAATCAGAAATACTTTGTTGATTCCCGAGGGGAAGTTGCTTATAATGCTGAGATACCACAGTTTTATTAAATCTAAAATCCAAAACATAAACCAACATGTGCACGCATTTCCCTAGAAACAAAAGCAGAAAAATTTGAAGTAACTCATCTGAAAAGATTCTGCTTCATGTGAAGAAACTGTTTCACTGCAATCTGTGGTCAATTATGAGTCACACTTTCAGTATAAACATGATGAATTATATAACGACTGCTAGTGAAGAGCACATGAAGTGGATATGTCCCTTATGCCAGACTCTAACATGATTATTTTCTCATTCTTCATTAAGCCTCTGCACCAGCAACAGCCGTGGTCAGAGGCATTATGTTTTAGAGTTATCTGTATGTACATACGCAAGTTAGAACTGATTAGATTTTAGTGACCAGTGGTTGCTGTGACATCACGAAGCACATTTTTGGCCTTAGATCAGTTTGTGAACATTGCACATTTGCAATTTTCTTCGTTGTAGCATAACTGTTCACTCGGACTCAAGGATTAACTGATTGTAAGTATGTGATTATAGGTCACTGCAATGCCATAAAACATATTTTTGGCCATACAACAAGAATTAATATGTAAAAAGTGACAAAAATGTACATGTATATCATAGTACAAAATGATAAAGTGCTGAAATTTTCTATTCTAACGGTCAAGGGAGTGAAGAAACTGGAGGTTATGCCACCTCTTACTGATAAACGCATGTGAACTGACGGATAGTTGCTGGCACAAAGCACTTTGGCACAACCCAAATTACAAAGGGAAACATTGATCTTGTCAGAATTAAAATTCTTAAGACTCAGTTCCTGCAAAGCATTAAATCTTAAAAATCTTTTAGAATTGGAAGCTTTATACTCAAAAACTGATGTAATGCTTCATATCTCAGTAGGATTTTAATTGTAAAATGGATTTGATTAATAACTAAAGCCATAAACAATGAGGTGATTTTAGAGCAAATGATCTGTACCTTTATGTGTACATTTGTGTGTTTTCAGGAAGCTCAGGAGATGGTGCTGCTCAAGTTTAAATCGGAGCTGCCTCCACCAGTCGTTCTTCCCTGTGCAGAGCTTTCCCAACTCATTAAAACCAATCTTCACTACCCTGAAAACTACACACATCCGTTTGTGCAGGACAGGTGAGACACCTGTCACAGATTTACTGGTTTTGGGCTCTTTGTAACAGTGTTTCACTGCACTGCTCACACTGCACATCGCTGGCAGATTTAGCAAAAATAGGTTTCTATGTGTTTCTGATATCCATTATCTAAAAAGAGATGTGTCAGACTATTTCCACCTTTTTCAAACACCAACATCCTGTGGGTTACTCTGAAAGCATATGCACAGCAGGAGAGCTGATGATGTGAGACCTAGATATATTCACTAGAGGAGTCTGATTCTGTCTTTGGTCTACTGTGTACTCTCGTTATCAGTGTTGGATAAGTTCCTGCTGTTGTGTGTGCCCCAAGAGGATGTGTAAATGAACAGTAGGGTCTATATGAGCTGCTGCGTCAAACATAGAGACACCAAATAATACATCAGTCTCAGGTGTACTTTATGTAGCAGGCAAAATTGGAAACACCTGCTTTCCCCCCAGTTTTCTGCAATATAGAATAGGGATGGGTACCGATCCCTGGGGCAATTTTTTTTTAACGGTTCTGCCAATGGTAGTTAAAGTAAGAAGAATGTTGTGTTGCCCATTTTATCTCATCACTAGAAGACGTGTCTGAAGTGTATGTATATATGTCTATGATGCACTTTTGCTTTCCAAATCCAAAACGGTGTTCTGTCTGCCAAGGCTATAGGCTCACCTGGTGCAGGGCGGAGCTAGCACTCACCTGCAGCTCTGTGCAGTATACGAATGACGAATGTCCAAAAGTATGAAATTTCACTACAGTTATTGCTGAATATGTTTTTGTTGCCACGAGAATGGCAAGTTGTTTGCATGAAGAGCAGAAATGTACTGAGATTTACTTAATATCTGTTCAAGGCAGTTTATTAAAACACAATGCAGAATATTTTATTTTTTGGGTAAAACCTGTGACATTGTCCACAGTGCTCTGTTCATTCCCATCAACACAACACTAGTGTCTATATACATTTTCATTCATATACAGTACATAAAAGAAAATAAAGCAATCTTTATTCTGTTCCTTTTTGTTTTGTTTTTTCTCCTAAAAACAAAACAAACAACCAAAAACAATCAAAGTATCGATAAGAGTACCATTAAAGTACCAGATTGATAAGCACTTTCATTTAAAATAGTGGTCTGGTTACAATCTTAACGATACCCATTCCTACTATAGGACAATACTAAAGACATTGAAATGTTGAAACAACAAAAAAAACCTTATGTTGTGAGGAAAGAAAAAAAAAAGTTTCTTTAACATTACCTTGATGGCGTATATTGTAACTAGTTGTATAGGATTTTCATTAGACAGTGAGCCTTTTTAAAGGTTAAGTGGTCCAATTTCTTGTCTTCACAATGTGTTTGACACAATCAGCTGTGTTGTATTAAGGTAGTGTTTGTCTAGGTTCACACTACACAACAGATTTTGAAATCAGGTAGCATTATGCACTTAAGGAGAAGCTTCATGGATGTTCTTCTCTCTAATTTCAGACTCAAAGTAGAACATAGAACGAGTCTGGATGAGAAAATGATTGCAGGCAACAAAATCTGTATATATTCAGAGAGAACTGAAAGTGAAATTTTATCAGCTTTAATATCTTTAGCTCAAGGGTAGAATGCTTAGCTCAAACGCTTGTTTTATGTTATTGGGTGGGCCCTGGTGGGTTTACAAGGGTTAAGGCTAGATATCTAAAACCTCACATTACCAACTAATCTGGGCTGAGCATTGAATCAGAGCAAGACATTACAAACCAGGTGTGTCCTTGGATTTTCAGGAGGTTGAAAGTGGTAAATTGGTCTAAAACGTCCTTGTGAGCTCTGTGACGAACTGTTCCCATTGGTCGTCCTGGTGCCTCTGGCATTTAACAGTTCTGGATCTGTATGTCTTTGGGTGCCCTGCCAAGGCAGATAAAGTCACTTGGTTTGAACTGAGATAAATGCGACATTAGAATACCTAATTGAAACTTTATCAAAGTAACTAGTTTGTCTAAGTTGTTGCACTGTCTGCCTCTGTACTGCATGGGTCTCTGCATGCACATTGGTCACACAGTGTCACCGACCACCACAAGTTTGACCACAATTTATATGATGTGTATTGGGACTGACAAAGCACTGACAATGGCACTCACTTTTCGCTCCTATAGCAAGACGCACCAGTGCCACCAATGTAAAAAGTCCGGAGCCCTGAAGGTGAAATCAAGGCATAAGGCGAAAAAAACATTTAAACCATACTTAGCTTATTTTCTTTTCTTTGCTTACAACATCATTCAATTTGTGTTTTTTTCTAGTTTTGACATCTTTATTATTGTTCTATAATGTGCACAGTAGTAAAGAAAAGAAAAGACAAGAAAAAAGCCCTTGAATGAGGAGATGTGTCAGACTTTTGACATAATTGTTGTGTATTGCTCTCTTGATCACTTGTGCTACAACCGCTGCAGGGGTGCAGTTGAGTAGTGATTTTCAGTTGTCTTTTTCCCAAATCCCAACCACTTTCTAAACCACTGCTCTGTCTGTTTCAAATATTTCATTGTCAGAATAGAGATTTAAATGGCTCTATCTTAGCAAACTGCTGTCAGTGTTTTTGGTTAAATGGAGTAAAGATAACCTCAATAGTTAGTGAAGCTGGTTTTGTCTTTGTCCCCAGTCTCTGTTTGGTGCCAGTTACTCTGACTCTATCCAACTGCTCCTTGGCTCAAGTGGACGTCATCATTGACTTGAAACACAAAAGCAGCAGGTAAGTTTCTGAATAGATGATGTGATTCCTTTCTAACATGAATCACTATCAGAGATGGAGCCAAAAGCCATTGTTCTCTGTAAACGTGTAGATCAAAGTGAAATTTAGCCAAAGGTCTATGAATTAGAAAAACACATACTAGCTCGTCTGGAGTAGTTGAAGGATAGTACTTATGAGTTTCATGCCTTTTAAATGCACAATTTGGTGTGAATGAGGGAAAAGGAAGCAGCCACGAAGTGAAGGAACTTACCAGTGATATGTGGAAAAAAATTCTAAGAGTCTGCACAGCAGAGCAGAGCAAATAGCCTTCGTATGGGTCAGCTTCCCGTTATGCAGATCCATGCATTCTTATAGAGCTGTTAACTGCCACATGTTTCAAACTCCTCATCTGTCTGGTATAAAGTTGTAGTTTCTGATCTTGACTTGACAACAACAGTAATTCATGTAAAATCATCATGATAATTTTCTCATTCTTGACCAAATTCCATTAGTATCACAAAAGACATTGTGTTCACTGCATACTATTCCTTTTAATAAGATAATGTATGTTTTTCTTTTCTTTTAACTTCCTTCCTTTGTAATTACAGTTAATACATACTGTTGCATCAGAAAACTAATTTTTTTCCTCACTTTATTACACTATGGATGTAATTTAAAATGATTTTTTTTTTTGCCATCAATCTGCAAGTGCAAGTGTACACACTGAAGGCAGTCTGACAGTGGACTTATGTTAGCTAGACTTGTATTTGGTGTCTACTTCAGCATCACTTTTACTTTCATTCATCTTCACTGAAGTGAACATATTTTCTAAGCTCTCTTTTCATTCATGTTTTTCTAGTCCAGAGACTCTGGAGGTCCACAGCTCATTCGCTTGGGTGGGCCAGACCCAGTACAAGCTGCAGCTGAAGCCTCAGGAGGTGCTGTGCCTATCTCTTCAAGCCTGTTTTCTTCGGGCAGGAGTCTACAACCTGAACACACCGCAATTGTTTGCTAAACCGTCTGAGCAGAGTACCATGTGTGAGACAAGTCAGCAGACAGCTAGTCCTGCTCTTATTATCATTAACAATGCCTGTGAAGCATGTTGGCCTGCAGACAGGAGGACCTAGAATTTGTGGACACAGAACCACTTAGCAGAATCTACCAGCTACTACACATCCTTCTAATTAATACTGGAAAGCAAGAAAACACATATTTTTTTGTAACAGTAAGTAACATAGAGAAATTTTATTTAAAGCCTTTTACTCAAAATAGACACTGAAGAGCTGATCTTAGAATTTCAGTGGTCAGAAAGTTTGTGGACCTTCGTTTCATCAGCCGACCATCAAACAGATTAACTTTTTCTGTACTAGGTCCTCTCATCAACAGGTTTTCCCTTCTCCCATCCAGCCCTCTGTACCACCACTCTCTCCACCCTCCCTGTTTGTCTATGTCACCAGCATCTTTCAACAACTTACCTGTGTTTGGTATAACAAAAAGCCATGCCAAAGTCATGTGGCAGAGACCTGCTGGTGTTGAACTAGAATGCCGACTCTGATCAAAACCAGAACACAAAATCAGAGACAAACTTGTACTCATTTTAAACCACCTTCACACATCAACACTATTAGTTTATGTATGATCAATCCAGTTCAGCTGGACTGGCATTTACTTCCCCACTCTCTGAACTGATGCCACCTGCTGGCTATTTTAACAACTTCTGTCTGCAAACTCTGAAGGACTCCCATTGAAATCAAATTCCTGAATGGACTGAGCAGTGGTTTTGTCAGTTTTTGTGACATTGTAACAAGAGTTGTTTACATCCTGAATATTGTACACCTTGCTGTCTCCTGTCTTTTTATTCAGTCTGCAGCTTTTCTGAAGGCAGAATGGACGCTGATGAGGGAAGTCTTGCTGCCCATTCTCTTTATGAATTTCAATTTGTTGGTACAAAGATTACCATTTCTTGTGCGCACATCAGACTTTTTTTTTTTCAAGACCAGTCAATCAGTGTGCGCTTTACTTCACCAAATTGTAATTTAGCTCTTGTATGCACTTGACTTGACATTTTTTCTGAAAAGTATGTATTATATTTATATATAACAAACTGGATGTAAATACAAATAAAAATGTAACTAATGATGCTGGGGAAAGACTGGCTGTGCTGATGTAATTGTATTAGTTGTAGTTGTGTTCTGTGTTTTTTCAGTCAATTTAACAGATTTCAAAATTCACATACAAGGAGAATCTGCTGGACAGCATTTTTAAAATTCAGAATATTTAATAACACTGTAAATACTCTTCATAATACTCAGCAACTCAATCACAGTCTGTGTCAAGCAGTAAGCAGGAAAACATTAAAAAAGTTATATGAAGGGGGAAAAAGGGAAATATGACTGTTTAGTTTGAATTATAAAACTTGTTGCATAACAGTAATGAACCCTAACATTCTTAAGATCAATAAAGAAACACAAATTTAAATGAAAAATGTCCTAAATCTCATAAAATCTAATATCTGCCATTTTGCAGTCACAAAAGTGCTCTTACTGCTATCAGTTCTTGCATAGTGTGGAATCATGGTAGCTTTTAAAAGCATTTCTTTTTAATGTAAGCACTATGATCTAAGTGCCCTGTTCCTCAGAATGGGGCAAGTGCATCTCATTGGCCATACTTTAATAAGTTAGCCTTTTATGGTGGACTATTAAGGTTAATCTCCATAATAATTAACACCATATGGTCTGATTATGCATTATTGTCAGGTGAAATATCATTTTATATATTTTTTGTAGGGTTTACATTATTACTGGGTGATTTTGCATCATAAATATCCCTGTAGGGTCCTAACCCCGGTACTTACATTTGTCTGGTTAATTTGTAATGCCAGTCATATTCATGTGGTCAGCATCACATGTAACAGGGGTGAGGGAGTAGTGAGTCAACCAAGAAACAGAGTCAAATTCCACTAAAGTTTCACTCAATAGCTCTGAGAGGGCAGCACTTAGTTCAACGAGACGTTCTTCTTGTTGGTTCTCACCAGGTGCTTCGGCTTCCTCCCACAGTCCAAGAAAACATGTTGAGGTTAACTGGTGATTCTAAATTGTCCGTAGGTGTGAATGTGAGTGTGCTTGGTTGTCTGTCTCTAAGTGTAGCCCTGTGATAGACTGGTG